TTTTTTGGGTTTTTGAGAAAGTGTCTTGCTATGTATTTCAGACTGGCCTTGAACTTACTACATAGCCCAGGCTGGCCTCGAATTTGCCACAGTTCTTCAGTCTCAGCCTCCCAAGCGCTGGAATCACAGACATGTGCCACCACACATTAATAGTAAACTCCAAGAGTAATGAACTACTGGAAGGGAAAAGCAAAAGGCTCCTTTGCTCTTTAAAAGAAACTACAATTATTGGATTTGTTACATACAAATCCAGAAAAAATGTACTACTTTGCAACATACAGTATACATACATTCTTATTTATAGCCAAAGGAAACCTACCAATTTCTGCCACTTGCTAATAGAGATAAGTAGTCTGTATTGTTTTAGAAATTAATACGTCTTTCACTTTACTGAAGTGTAAATGTAAGTATTATACATGAAGTAATAGAATATCAGTTTGCAATCTGTAATGATTAATGGATTTAAGCACTGAGAATCAAGAGTTGCTGCTGACGTGTTTTGAAATTTTATTTTTTCTTTCTTTTCTCTTTCAAATAAAATGAATTTGAAACAAATAAAACTTTAAAAAGTACCCACAACTCAAAATGAAAAAGAAAAGAATTGCCCTCATCACATAAAAAAAAAAAGTAGAACAACCAGGCATTATACATATCCTGTAAGAAAAAACAAAAAAAAAGTACCTTCTATGAAGGAATCTAACTCTAGTTGAAAAGGTAAATTTACATCTAACCAAGTCTCTGACTTCCAATTTACAAGAAATACTGAGGACAGAGACTGTAGTAAACTGCATCACAGATGCCAACCAGCAAAATCCAGAATAGTAGTAGAAACCTGTAATCCTAGCACTTGGCTGAGGCAAAAGGATCATGGCAAGTTTGAGATCCTGATCTACATAGCAAGGCCCCATCTCAAAAAACAAAACAAAACAAAAAAATGCAGAATGAAAAACAACTCAGTTTCTTTTTTATTGTTGTTGTTTTTGATGGACCTAGGGATTGAGTTTAGGGCCTTGTGCATGCTAGGGAAGCACTCTAACTGAGCTACACCCCCAAGCTCACAACTCAGTTTCTTCAATGAAATAATTACAAGAAGAGAACAAAAAAAGATGGATAGAAAATATCCTTTAAAAAGTCAAGGTCTGAGGACATAGTTCAGCAGCACAGCACCTGTCTAGCATGCACAAGGTTCTGAATTTGACTCTCAGTACAAAAAAAAAAGATATTTTCAGTCATAGTATGTATAACTCTTTTGGACTCAAATTGAACCAAAATGTTTTTTAAAGCTATGACAAAGACTGAAGTTAAAGACTTGAACATTAACTCATAAACTAATGAATTAAGGAATTATTGTTATTGGTTTTAGATATGATTTAATACTGTGGGCTTTTAGGAACACATAAGGAAAGATTTATGGACAAAATAATATGGTACTGGAATTTCCTTCAAAATGATACGGAATGGTTATTAATTATTCAAGCTAAATAGTGGACACAATAGCTTGTTTGTATATGTCCGAATCTTTCAATTATTAAGAATTAAAATCACAGTTTTAAAAAACTGCTATTCAACATTCCTGAACGAGTATTTTAGAGTTTTTTATTTAGTTTTTTTTTGTTTTGTACTTTGTACTTATACACAAAAAGAAAATTTTTATATCTATTCTAAATTACCCACAAAATATTCTGCACTCAATTCTTCTACCAGCAGCATATAAAACACCTATTGCCCTAGCCTTACCCAGTGCTGGTTATTAACAAACTTTTTTCAAGTGTTTTGAAACAGAGTCTTGCTGTGTCACCCAGGTTGACTTTAAACCCATGCCAGTCCTCTGGCCTCAGCCTCCTGAGGGCTGGGATCATGGTCGTGGGCCACGATGCCCAGCAACAAACTTTTGTATTTGGCCAAAGTGTTGTTTATGACTCTCACAGTGTCTCAGAATCTCATGGTATTCCATGAAAAGTTGGATGTTCTGAAATCTCAGCATATTTTTTTCCTATCCAGCTGTGGGTCCCCTCAAGCCCATCAGAGCATCTGCTTGATTTTGATGCTAGAGAACTTAAAGAAAAGCTTTAAACTCTGAATCAAGCTTTCTGCATCCAAGAGTTGATTTTTGTATCTCTTTCATTGCCAATTTTCCCTCTTTAGTTACCACTTAGATTTTATGTCAATTGCTAGAAGCTGTTTGTACTACTGTCTTCTTCAACGTGAGGGGAAAAAAAGCACACAGGCCACTCAGCTGGGTTCTCAGAATGACCACTGAGATCACTGCCTTTCAACTTCTGGTCCTCAACAGTATAGTCTCAGAAACTTCTTTGACCTTTAATTTATTGAACTTGGCACAGGGCACACCTGTAATCCTAGCACTTGGGAGGCTGAGACAGGAGAAGCACCACAAGTTTAAGGATATTCTGGGCTACATATTGAGACTCCATATCAAAAATACAAACAACAAAAAAAAAAAAGCAGAAGCAACTACTGTTATAGCAATTGTTGTTAACCCAGAATGAGCAAATATTGAAGATATCTGAGCAGGAGAAAGAAATGTTTAAAGAGGTTCTCCAGGAGATTAATCTCACATCATTGATTACTTTCCCTCTGGTTGTTAAAATACCAAAATTTGTTGTCATTTCCTCATTCCTTGCTTGTAATTTCCTTCCTAGTGACCATCATACCAAGAAAGAACCCCAACTCAACAGGGCTGTCTCACACCAATGAAAAGGATATTATCAGGCCACCATCATATGCAGTGGAGACAAATGAAACAGAGCTGCACCATGACCTGGAGAAGAGAATAAATCCCTCCTCCAAGCCCCTCTCTCAAGCTGAGTCACCACTACTAGATTTATATCCAAAGTATAATCTGAAGAGAAAAAAAGCAGGTGATTTTTTTTTCAGGTATTTTCCCCCAAAATTGGAGAAGGGTCCAGATTTTTAGAGGGAAGTCCCTTTACTACACTGAGTTTATACTCTGAATGGTTGTAAAGAAAGCCCTCTCTACACCGCAGTTTTCTTTACTGGAGCCAGTGATACCTATTCCATGAGAATTAAATGAGTCGATGTGTTTAAAAAGCTTTGAACACTATCTGTCTCACTATAAGGATTCTGTAGGTATTAGCTAAACTTTATTAAGGACTTTATCCCACATTATTTGTAATGATTCTTAATTACGATCCTGTGTTTCTCAATCACTAAGCATTAGTGATCTTGTAACAGGCTATACCAGTCCCAGTGCACCTCTGGGGCAGAGTTTGGCTAATAATATAAATATTCACCCTCAAAGTCAGAGTCACATAGCTTTTCTACAAACCCAAACCACAGGTGGTGGCATCTACTAATTTCATTTATTGAGAAAATAAATTACAATTAAAAGAATTCAGCAAAGCTTTTAAATTGCTTTTAAATTAATTAGTCAACCTAACTAACAAGAATTGGGCCAGGTGTGGTAGCACATGCCTGTAATCCCAGCATTTAGGAAGCTGAGACAGGAAGATGGCCATGAGTTCAAGGCCAGCCTGGACTGCATAGAAAAACAAGGTCTCAAAGGGTGAGGTGGGGGCAGATGGGGAATACATATTTGAAAATATAGGAGACACTTGATTTATTCAGTCTGTGGTAATGTCTGGAGCTCCTTAGGTTTCACAAAACCACTGTAATCAATTCTAGAAGCCTGAAAGCAGAGTTGAGTAACTGATCAGCTCAGTAGTGTCTTCATAGGCAAAATCAAACTTTGGACAGAAAGATTCATTATTCTATAATTCAAACAAGATGAAACTGTAATTATCCTCACACAACAGGATACAAAAGGGCAATGCTAGCTGTGTGACCAGTTTATCTCCCCATCATGTGTACCTCCTCCTCAGCTGTTAACCTTGTGGTCCTACCTATTTTTGCAGACTTCTGAAAAGCCAGTGAAGGGGCAAATGTAAACTAAAAACTCATTTCAGTGGGGAAAAGAAAATGGGATGAGGGTATTCATTAAAAAGGCTCTTTCCAATAACCGTGCTCTGAATTCAGTGAAAATCCAGAAGATTACAGGCAGGTGTAAAGGGCCGACCTACAGTGCCACCACCTCTTCCAAAACAGAATCAACATGGCCTCTTCTCCCAGCTGTTGCACTGAGCTGGCTAAGGACAGATTTGGGGCAGAAGCTCCAAAACATTATCATTTCTTTCATGTTTTCCCTTCCATCTAATGGAAATCCAGCCATGGAAACGACTTAGGAAAGGATGAGATAGAAATTTTATGAGATAAGTGTCCACTGTCTGCCAGAGACCAAAGATAAAGCAGAAAACCAGACTGGAAAAGCTTGTCTAAGCCTTGAGTAAAGAACTCATAAACTAGAGAGCAAATGAAACCAATTTCAGACAGCTGCTAGGAGAAAGGCAAAACAGGCAGAAAAGAGAAGCACGAATTCTTGAATGAATGCTTTCTCCTGGAAGAGATCTTTCTCTTCCAGGAGACTCGTGCTAGTATCAAAATGGCCAGAGCCTTGCAAGAACCTGAGGCCGCAGCGTCCCAAGCAGATTTAAATGCAAAACCGGTTCTCAAACCGAGAAATAACAGGACTTTCTAAGTCCCAAAGGGATAACGGTAACCGAGGTTTAAGAAATCTGCAGTGGCGGGTAATTTTAAATATTCATGTCGCCCAATCAGAAAAAGGCTAGGACTTGACCGCCAGTCTTTGCCAAGTACACAACCACTGGCATCCACAGGACTCACCGCAGGGTAGAACCTATGAGAGAACACACAAACTGCCGCCAAGCTTTAGTCCTACAAAGCTATGTCCACCGGATTCGGGCTTAGCTGTGTCCGAGTCCCCTTAAATCACGGTCGAAGGGAATCAGTCATTTGATTTTAGATCTATGAAACATTCTTAACAGAGCAGCCTGGACATATGCCTGAGATGGGAAGAGGGGCAGTGTCACCAAGGACAAGTTTCTGGAACTGACATCTGTGACACCTAAGGAAGGAGTAAACATAAACTACAGGAGGAAATCGAATCACAAACCAAAAACTTCTAATTAGAAATACTCAAAAAGCTTCATGCACCATCTGCTATAACCTTATCCTAGTTGTTTCTGACAAGAAAACAGAAGTGAGCAAAGCTCTTTTTGGATGAGATGGGTGGCTCTGAAAAGAGCCTTTGCAAAGGGTGACCGGGAGCGCCAAGTACGAGCGGCACTCACTTGGAGCTGGTGTACTTGGTGACCGCCTTGGTGCCCTCCGACACGGCGTGCTTGGCCAGCTCGCCCGGCAGCAGCAGGCGCACGGCCGTCTGGATCTCGCGGGACGTGATGGTCGAGCGCTTGTTGTAGTGTGCCAGGCGCGACGCCTCGCCAGCGATGCGCTCGAAGATGTCGTTGACGAAGGAGTTCATGATGCCCATGGCCTTGGACGAGATGCCGGTGTCGGGGTGCACCTGCTTCAGCACCTTGTACACGTAGATGGAGTAGCTCTCCTTGCGGCTGCGCTTGCGTTTCTTACCGTCCTTCTTCTGAGCCTTGGTGACAGCTTTCTTTGACCCCTTCTTGGGAGCCGGAGCGGATTTTGCCGGCTCAGGCATAGTAACACACACCACCAACAAAGCTTAGCCAAGGAAAGAAGTATGAGAAAGGATGAACCTGACCCTTTTATAACCGTGTTATGCAAATTAGGATTCAAAAGGTCTTTCTTTCCCATTGGTTTATATAGGGACCTTCCGTTTTCAGTAAAGCATAAGTGAACGACGACTCTTCACTCTATTGGTCATTTCTCAAACCGAGCTAGAACCAATGGGAGAATTCGTTCCTGACCCCACCCCCTAGGAAAGATTATAAAGACTTCCTGCTTGGCCCTGTTTTAGTCGTTTTATTGCGAAATTCTGCACTTTATGTATTACCTATTTCTTTTTTATATCTGTCTCTGGCCGTGGTAAGCAAGGAGGCAAGGCCCGCGCCAAGGCCAAGTCGTGCTCCTCGCGCGCCGGGCTGCAGTTCCCGGTGGGTCGGGTGCGCTGCCCGCTGCGCAGGGGTAACTACGCCAGGCAGGTGGGGGCCGGCGCGCCAGTCTACGTGGCTGCGGTGCTCTATTACCTGACGGCTGAGATCTTGGAGATGGCGGGCAATGCGGGCCGCAACAAGAAAACATCATCTCTCGCCACTTGCAGCTGACTATCCGCAATAATGAGCTGAATGAGCTTTTGGGCAAAGTCACCATCGCCCAGGGCGGCGTTCTGCCCAACGTCCAGGCTGTTCTGTTACCAAAGAAAACAAAGTTGCAAAGCCAAAAGCAAATAAAACCTGACAAACCAAGCAACAAGACCGAAAGACTCCTTTCAAAAAATAAACCTAATGCGCTATTTTGTGATCAGCCCTTCCTTTGACACTGTAGTGGCTCTTAAAAGAGCCTTTGGGTGAAGGGGGGCAGATTTAATTATTTGTTCTTGCCAGGCTTGTGACTCTCCGTTTTCTTGGGCAACAAGACAGCCTGGATATTGGGCAAGACGCCGCCCTGGGCAATGGTGACACCTCCGAGTAACTTGTTCAGTTCTTCGTCGTTTCTCACCGCTAACTGCAGGTGGCGAGGGATGATGCGCGTCTTCTTATTGTCGCGGGCCGCGTTGCCCGCCAGCTCCAGGATTTCGGCCGTCAAGTACTCGAGCACCGCGGCCAGGTAGACTGGGGCGCCGGCCCCCACCCGCTCGGCGTAGTTGCCCTTGCGCAGCAGGCGGTGCACTCGGCCCACCGGGAACTGCAGCCCGGCGCGAGAGGAGCGCGACTTGGCCTTAGCCCGAGCCTTGCCTCCTTGCTTTCCGCGTCCCGACATTACGGCTTTTAACTCAGTTGTAGCTTCTTTTTCAAGGAGAGAGATATGGAAAGAATAACCAATTTGATGTAATTTATAAGAGCTACAGGGAGGGGTGAAGGGGAGTAGTCTGATTGGCTAAACGCAGACCTGGATCAAATAGCCAATAGGGAAGCAGAAAACAGACAACCCCGCCCCCCGCCTTTGCCTAAAGGAAGTGACGGAATCTGTAAGAATCTACCTATCACTGAGAGCCACATTAAAGCCTCTTATTTGCACGCGAGCGTTTTTAAAGAGAAAAACTTTTCAAATAAGATTTTTTTCCTGTTTTAAGAGTGTCAGTGTGCGGCACTTTCCTTCACAGCTGTAGCAGGAAAGTCCCAGAGACCTCTAAATTCAAGAAGACTCCAAGTAGACCAACACTTCGAAGATAAAGGACTCTGCAATCCATAATCCCTTTGTCTTAACCTGTCACAGCCAGAGTCCGATAAAATTAACTACTAAGGCTTTCTCTTTTCTCAACCTTCAATTTAGTCGCAGGTTCCGCCCTCCACCACCACCACCCGAACCTCGCGCGGTGAGGAATCGAGTTTAGCCAAGGACTATAATGGATTTGTCTTCCTCTCGACCTCCAGGAGGCTTCCGTTACCGCCTTGAAACGCTCCCGTGGCTTTCAAAATGTCCCTCTCTGTTCTTCTCGCCTTTTTATCCTGTTTATTTATTCCTCTGCCCACCCTAAACCCGCAAGCCCACCTGGACTCTATCCCACCTAGACTGCGTATCCCCATCTTTTCACTCATCCCAAGGAGTCTTATCAACTCCCGTACTGCAAACACTCACATTTATTTCAAAAATTCAGATCCTGACATTTAATTGCTTACTGGATACTTCATCCCTTTTGTTCCAAAAAGCACCTTAATCATCAGAACGTGAACTCTTGTAAACAAGTCCCACACTCCCCTTTGTCCGCTTTCCTTGAATTGTACCAACAAAACTCCAGGTATCAAATCCGAATCTAAAACCGGGGAATAGGGTGAGAGACCCAGAAAGAGAGACACTCCCAGTACAGTGACGCAATCATCACTATACACAGAACCAATCACAAGATGCTCTTTTCAATCCTTCATTTACATGTGGACACAACCAGTCAAATGACACTGTTCTATAACTTCATTTACATACAGCAAGCCAAGCGAGTTTTTTCCCCCGAAAGTAGTTTACCAGTGGCCTAACGCTAAAGTGAGTGATTAATAATAGGATGAATGTCCCACTCTGCCTTATTTATAGGAGGGAGATAACCCGAGAATTATGGATACAAATGACCTCTTTCACCTATCCTGAGGGCTACTCTTTCTTCCACCCCCTCTCCCTGTAAAGCGTGTATTTCCACCTTTTTTTTTTTTTTTTTTTGTCTTTTTCCTTTTTTTTATCGGTACCGGAGATCAAACTGACGAATGCCTGCTTGCAAGGCAGGCGCTTATGCCGCTGAGCTAAATCCCCAGCCCCTACTTCCACCTTTGATAAATGTACAACTTTGCTGCCTTTTTTGTGCGTCTTACCCAGTTCTTTCTGGGAAACACCAACAAGAGACCTGGAAAGAAATACCGCGGGACGCACTATCCGGTAATATTCTCTTCCCGATGTCAACAGTTATTAACATTTCTGCTTTTTTCTCCTGTTTCTTTGTCTACCTCCTGTTGTTTCCTTATGTTTCTGCGAGAGCCCCTGACTGGGAATTTTGCCGACAGACTCCAAAGGCTCGCGTAATGTTCAGGCCTTAGCGCCTCCCTACTTTGGGAGTTCTGTTTCCCTATACTCATTTTCACCCTTTCCTGGGCATCCCATAAGGAGGTAAAATGCCGCAGAGAAAATAGATTTAAACTCTATTCTTTGAGCTCTTTTCAATGTTGTCTTTTATCTTTGTTTTTCTTCAACCAGCACTCATTGCATGTTTACTAATGGGTAATGAAGTTAACGGAGTATATATGGGTATGAAGATAACTAAGCCTGATACAATAACATCCGTGAAGAATGTTCCTAAGAAATGGAAGGAGTCTGGTGACTGAGAATTAAATTAGTTAATAGAACTATCTCCAGCGGGGCATGGTGCCTCATCCCTATAATCTTGGCTATCATCTCTGTAATCAACAGAATGAGGCAGAAGGATTCCAGGGCCACCTGAGCTAACCTAGTGAGTTCAAGGACAGCCTGAACTGCCTGGCAAGACTCTGATTCCAAAAATATACCTTCCCATAACTGACTCTATCCCCTTTCTCAATCTCCTTTTTTTTAAGGTGCCGGCAACTGAACCCAGGACCTTTGCACTGAACTACATTTCTACTCTAAATGTTTTTAATTTTTAGTGTATCTTCATTTATTTTTGAGATAGGGTGTCTGTGTAGCTCAGGCTGGCCTTGAACTCTCTATGTAGCCCAAGTTGGCCTCGAATTTGTGGTGAGCCTCCTGTCTCAGCCTCTGGACTGCTGGGAACAGGCATGTGTCAACACACCCTGCTTGGAGATCCTGATAGTGTCAATTTTTTAGACCTTCAAAGTTAAGTGCAAGAACTTGCACTTTTAAAATTATTTTTATAAAAAGAATAATAAAGGTATTAGCTCTTTTCCTTTATACATTAGCTCATTTATTCATCCAGTACATTTTTGGTTAATTTGTTGAAATGAGACCTTGCTGTGTTGCCCAGGCTAGCCTCTAATTTGCAGTCCTCCTGCTTTAGCCTCTTAGGTAGGTTGGGTTACAGACACATGCCACCATGCCAGGTATATTCCACCTAATACAACTTATTGAACACCAAAATATGCTGAACTCAACAGCACACAACAGTAAAATACCATTCCTTGTGCCTAGATCTCTTTCCAAGTGCTTAGTTATTGCTAGTTGTACAAATCTTTTAAAATGGCCCTTCCACAGCAAGGTGTTCACTGACCATGTCCCCACAACATTCCATAACACTGGGGACTAGCAAAATACAAGGTCTTGACTGGAAGCACATCATTTAATGGCTTTCTAGTCAACTTGCTTCTTTCTGTACCATCTCCTTCCTTTGCTTAGATTATCTTTCACTCAGTTCTAAAAAGCCTTTTCTCTTCCTCTATTACTTCTGTCTTCCCACTTCTCAAATACATTCTTCACACACTCACCAGAACAACCAACATTCTTATTTTCATTATGTGGTCTTTTCAAGTGATTTCGGCTCTCCCAACCCACCTCAGTGACGTTACTTTATCTTCATAACCTCTGCGTAAAAGACACCTCAGGATGTGAGGGTGATCTGGCTTTGATGGGTGATCTGGCTGTAACATCTGTCACCCTATTGATCACCAAGACTGATTCGGCTATCTGGCTGGCTAGGCAGCTGTCCCTTTCCTCCCTCAATGCTCCATGTGCGTCCCTCCCAAAGCTGTGCACTCAGTCCAAGAGGATGACCACCTGATTAGAGGAAGACATTTCTTCAATCACGGTTATACGAGGAGCTGCACTGCCTTGCTAGAACCTCCAACAAGCTCTCAACACACCTCAAATACTGTTCACATCTCAGATGCTAAAAGCAGTGGACAAAAGCTTAATGAGAAATAGGAAATTGCATAGATTCAAAAATATTCCCTTTATGTGCTGGGGGATACGTTCACAGATGACTAATGGATACTTGAAACTTCAGATAGTACCAAACACCATACAGCTACTCCTTATGTCTGCAGGGGATTGGTCCTGGGGACCCCTGCACATACTGAAATCTGCAAATGCTCAGTCCCTTATATAAAATGGTATGATATTTGTTTATAAACTATGCACATCATCTTGAATATTTTAAATCATCTCTAGATTACTTATGCTTAGTACAATATAAGTGCTATGTTAATAGTTGTTATACTATTACTGTTCAGGGAATACTCAGCATAAGGAATGATGACAAGAAAAGTCTGTGTGTGTCCAGTACAGCTATAACTATTTTTTCAAATATTTCCAATCAGCAGGTGGTTGATTCCACACATACAGAACACATAGATATGAAACTCATGGGTATGAAGGGACACCTGTGTTACACTTTTCCAGTGCATTCCAATGATAACATTTTTCACAAGTTAGGTTAGCAAGATAACAATAAAATAAAACATTTATAACAACATACTGCAATAAATGTTATTTTAAATTAGATGTATTTTATTTCTGGAATTTTCCATTTAGTATTTTCAGACCATGACTGCAGATAGCTGAAACCATAGATATCTATGGAATTATTTCCTATTGTGAGAGACAACTCCAGTGACTCCCTTTGAGTCCAAAACAATTACTGTAACTTTGATTACTTGGAGACTCATTTCCTTATACTGATATGTAAAAGGCTGGCTAGGGTATTTCCTTCTCTCTTCAATTGGCTCTGAGCATTGCAAATAAGGCTAGCAGAGATGTAATATGCAAAATCTATAGTCAACAGACAGTCCTGTTTCCTCACATAGTGTTCTCCACAATACAGGATTGAGCACGTGGGATGTTAGAGCAAATAGCTCTGGGAATGTCAACTGGGTAGAAGCCTCAAGATAAGGGGCTATGACTCCCCAGGGCACAAGAGTTTGCATATCAGAAACTGAAGTAATAGCCCCGAAAAACAATTCCACTACTACCTTAACTGGATTAGGTAAATTAGTCCTTCTGCATATCTTTATCTCTGCAAATTACAGAGATACCATTTTTGCACCTGACCAGCCAGCTCAAATAACTCGGTGATCCGCTGACTGACATCCTCACTATCACTCATCCCAGAGCTACCCACTTTTCGTCACAAGATGATAAATGCTGAGAGAGGGCTAGGATTGAGGTCTTTGTCCGCATGTCCTCACAGGGATTGGATTTAGGACCCCCTTGACTGCCCTTAACTTGGAATATGTCTTGGTGTTTTTATTCTCGCCATGAGTTGCATTGGTGGTGGTAGATTTGAATTAGCTTGCTAGGATTCCAATGTCGTCTCAGTGGGATTACAAATATAACCTTTTGGATTGTGAGGAAAACTAGAAGAAGGATTACAATACTTGAGTGACTGAACTTGATGTTTGGGTTTACAATACCTATGATAAATATGATCATTATTTATATCTAAATCATGCCAATAAACAATAAAAAAGAAAAAGAAGAAATTATCATGTCTCTCACAGTTACACATTGGAAAAAGAGAAACCTGTCAGATACCACCTTAGTCATATGATCAGAATAATCATTATTGGAAGGACAAATGAAGACCAGGTTCTCACTGGTGACATTCACTAGGAAGGAGTTGATATTACTATAAACAGCTAAGTTAGAAATATAGTAGGTAGGGGCTGGGGATTTAGCTCAGCGGCATAAGCGCCTGCCTTGCAAGCAGGCAGTCGTGAGTTTGATCCCTGGTACCGATAAAAATGAAAAAGACAAAAAAAAAAGAAAGAAAGAAATATAGTAGGTGTCAGAAAGGGCTGAGTCTTCAAGGGAGTTGGTGCAAAAAAAGAAAATCCATCAGCACTGTGGCTTGAGGTGCATTTAAAGATTAAAGTCATCATAGCTAGTTTTATATACTTCTCTAAGGGGTGCACGGAGGCTATGACATCACTTCTGTTTCAAAACGAATTTTGGAGGCAACACGGCCTGATTAAAGGGACTAAGAAATGAATGTTTAGGGGAACCCTCCAGATTCCCCTAAATCTGCTCTCATAAATTCTCTCTGGCCCCCAAGTCTAGGTGACATGCCTCCTTAGCAAACTCCTCGGACTCATTGTAGCATTTAGCATACCACAGTGTAACATAACATAGCGTACTGCTATAGTGAACTCATGTATCTCCTCCATTCCCCAGTCCACTAAGAAGAAAGCATTTTTATTCCACTGCCACCCTCTCCATGCATTGATATGATACACAATAATGTGTGTATTCAGTAAATGGAATTGACTTCTGTTTTCTTCTATCTAAAATAAAGTAGGGGCTGGATGAGCTATTGGCGATAAAACTGATGAAATAATCCTCGACCCTAACTGTGCAGGAAATCCCTTTTCTGTTTCACTGACGTAGTTCGGTACGTCCATGATCTTTCGAGTCGGTCGAACTGGAGACTACAATACCCATCAAACCCCGGGGTACACGTGGTGCTTCGGGTCTTTCGGGGATTGAGCGGGCTACATTTCCCAGCGCGCCCTGGGACTTCCGTATGCTGGCTTCCGTTGGGAGCTGCAGTGACTATAGCTAAGCCTCAGGTAAAAAGGGCTCACTTTTGGGCTTCATGAGGCCTGACTCACCCAAAGCACGGAATTGCACATACCTTATTTTTGCAGCCTCCAGCGATTCCCTCCAAATCCCTTTAGTACCCAGAGACCTCTGAAACCGACCTCTAATCGCCTTCGGCCCTCCACTTCCTCAAGCCAGAAACCCACAATAACAGGTCACACCGAGCAGAGACGGTGCTGCGGCCTCCTGATCTGGTATCGAGGCAGGTAGATATCGTTGGGGAAAGGGTTGGTTGTGCGGACCGTGCGTAGTGAAGGCAAAGGCCCTCAGTTCTCCGATCTTTGTCTCTGCAGCAGCGGATGTTGAGTGGGCAGCTGGTCCGACGCCTGGTCTCCATGGCCACCCGCGTGTGTTTGTCCCCGGGCAGCGCGGGATCCGGGACCGTTGGTCCGGTGGAGGCCACCATCCGCGCGAAGCTGGAGCAAGCCCTGAGCCCCGAGGTGCTGGAGCTGCGCAATGAGAGCAGCGGCCATGCTGTCCCTCCTGGCAGCGAGACACACTTCCGAGTGGCGGTGGTGAGCTCTCGCTTTGAGGGAATGAACCTCCTGCAACGGCACCGGCTGATCCACGAGACGCTGTCAGAGGAGCTGGCCGGGCCTGTTCACGCACTGGCCATCCAGGCCCGGACCCCCACCCAGTGGAAGGAAAACTCTCAAATGGATACAAGCCCCCCCTGTCTTGGTGGGAACAAGAAAACTCGATGAACACCTTGACTCTGAGATAGAGGAGGGCCAGAATCTGAAGGGGCTGTGTGACAATAAATAAGTACTTGATATGGTAAATCAAAAGGACAAAGATCCCTACGACCTGTTCTGCTGCCACATGTATATTCTCTAGAGATAACCTATTGAAGGTCAGAGTGAACCCAGTCACATACTACTGCTCTTGCCTGGACCCTTCATAGTTTTTCCATGTTAAATTGTGACACCAGTCATGAAACAACCTCTATATTAAAAGAAATGATCATAATGAGACATATTGCTGTATTGTTAATGCATATGGAAGCGGTTCTACAGAACAACTATAGGCCTGGGTGGTCAGGAGGGGATTCTTGGGAAAAGTGAACAGCTATATTAAGTCTTAACGGCGAATGATATCACTATCAACGATATCACTATGCTCCTGCAGATGTAAATCAGAAAAGAGAGGAAAAGTGTTTCCTGCAAGTGTTTTCCTCAGGGAAGCTTCCTGAGCTAAGGCAGAGATTGGACTGGGTAGTGAATTAGTGGACAAAGCAGGGGATATAGGAAGGGACACATAAAACTTCACCATGAGAGAATATTTGTCTTTTGACAACCTGTTTCCAAAAGGCATTCATTTATAACAAAATTTTTTTTAAAAAGGAATGAAAAGAGGGTGAGAACTCTTTATGTAGGCTTTTGTTTATGAGGCTTCCAAACATTACTTTTTTTTGCCAGTCCTGGGGATTGAACTCAGCGTTTTTGCACTGAGCTTACATCCCTAGCCCTTTTTATTTTGAGACGGTCTTTCTAAGTTCTTCAAATGCCAAACCCCAATTTGCACTCCTCTCGCTTCAGCCCGAGTGCTGGCATTACTATACAGGCATATGCTGCCATGCCCAGCTTAACATTTGTGAGAGGCATTAAGTAATGTCTATATAAGTTAAGTTTCCAGTTTTCTCAATGTGTAAATTACTGGAAAAGAAGGCTGCTTACCCTGTCTTGACCATTTCTGGCATCTGCCTGGGCAATAGGAAGTCACTGGAGAATTTTGAGAAACAATGTGGACACAGTCTGATCCAGCAGTCATGTGTGAATGGGTTGGTGTTAGGGTAAACTGAGGCACAGTTGAGACTATTGAGACAAGCAGAGTTTAAATAACATTCGAGAACTTTATTATAGACCAGGTGCAGCTGAGCCAAGGGCCCCAAGTAAGGGGCAAGAACATATATAGGAAAGTTTAGGTAGGGAAGGTGGGCATTGAGGATGAAGGTGCAAAATTTTGTGCCTCAGTAGGGGGGCCTAGGGCTAACAAGATAAGGCAGTGTTGGGTATGGGGGCGTTGCTGGCAGGCATAGCATCTCTCATGGTTCTTTGTGGAAAAAGCTCTCTGCAGGTTGAGCTGAATGGGGAAGGTACTAGCTTCCGGATGAACACTATGCTCCTGCAGATGTGAACAAGAGATCTGCTTGGGGAGTTTTTCTGTCGTAGCTAGGTGGTGGTCTAGTTCTAGTTCAGGGACCTGACAGTTGGCATAGGAGAACAGAGGCACAGATCAACCAAAAGTGCAGGTAGAACCGTGACTTAGAGGTCTGTGGCAGGAGTGGAAAGTTGGTCTGAAAACTGTTAAGATCAGAAAATGACTCGAATGCAGCCCAAGGCAGCTCATTTAAAACGTAGATTTGAGGTCCCCACCTCCAAAACAGGATTTGAGTCCATAAGTCGAGTTGAATCTGAGATCTGTATATTTTAAAGGTATCCCAGAAGATTTGGATGAAAATTGGTTATATTTTTTATTGTTTTTGGAGATGTCTTGTTATGAACTCATTTTGTAGACCAAGTTGGCCTCAGACTTGGAGGAATCCATCCCCCTGCCTCAGTCTCCTATGTGCTGGGATTAAGGTGCCTGCCACCACACCCGGCTTTAGTTGATTCTATTTTTAAGAAACACTATTCCAAATGTTTTAAAGCTAGAAACCTTAGAGGGCCTCCACCTGTGAAAATGGAAATCTGAGGGTTTAGAGAGGGCAGTTTAGGAAATAATTTGATCCAACATGTTATTCTGGCTTCCAGAGTGAAGAGGGAGTCACTTTTCAGCACTATTTTACCCTTTCAGGATTGTCAGAATGGATTTAAAATACAAGAAGAGAGGCAAAGAAACAGTCATTTTGGATTTTAAGGATTTGTTTCCTTTTATTTTTCATCAGAATTTTTCATTTCATTTTTCACATCAAGAGTCAGGTTCAGGGTTCCCCAAGAGAACAAGGAGATGGCTGGGTCTCCCTGGAGTGCAGGGAAAAGGGCTGTGTCCAGCAGATGAAGGGTGAGGGAAGAGAGAATATACTCGTACACTGGGCACTGGAGAAGGCAGTCCTTTAGCACAGACGCCAGAGTGAAACAGTCACCACCTGGTTCAGTTACAAAATGAAAGTGACCATGGGTTGAGGGCACCAGACGCAGCATGAAGAGGGTGAATTTGGATTTTGCTTGTTGTTATTTTCACTTTTTTCTTTTTTTTTTAACATTTTACAAACAGCTAAAAACTACGACACATCACAGCTACAGTGGAGGTGGAAAGGGCACCAATGAAAGCAGCCAGAGTGGGGTGGGACGGGGCAGCTTCACCTACAGAGGCAAGTGTGTGGAAGGTCGAGGTGGTGAAATTAAGGTTTCTGGTCCCTGCATTAGGTGTCTCTCACTGCCCAGCCTCTCCCCACTTTTAGAGGGATTGCCAGGAGGCCCTGCTTCCTGCCTCAGCCCAGCTCCTTGTGCTTTTTGATCTGCTGGTTTGACCGTATCCCTGGGTGCCTTCCCTCTCTGCTCCCAGCTATGACAAGGGCTTTGAGAAGCAGCTGTGTACTTCCTGGCTACTGTAGGGGTGGAGCCTCTCCCTCCAGAGGCCTTGGCTTGACAGGAAGGAGAGCCAGCCCTTGTCAGGTGCCCTCAGGTCTCCCTAAACCACAGGCCTCATCCCAGCATGGCCTGGGGGTTCTCCTTCCCAGGCCCAACACAGACACCAGCTTCAGGGAGGTGCTACGGGAGGCAGGATTGTGTGTGTGTATCCATTGAAATTCCCTTGGCTTATATTTGAGGACAATATAGTGACACCGTCAGCTTGTGGCACACATACACATATACATAAATGTACACACACGTTCAAACACACAGGCCTGCTGAGCTGCCTCAAAACATAAATATATAAATAAATAAGAATCAGAAAGCTAATTTCATAAAATTCAGGCTTCATAGTTATAGCCCAAATTAAGGGGAAAGTGAAGACCAGAGGGCCAAGATTTATTGCTGCTCCCTCAGCATCCAAAGGGAAGTGTGAGGGCACAGAGCCCTCTCACTGGTAAGTTCTTTTGGTCCATGGCATATACCTAAGCCCCAGCCCGCAACATACCTGCACACCCACGGTTTCACTAGGGCTTAAGCAGAGGGAGGGAGGGAGACAGCGGGAAGCCTATTCTGGAACCCCTGAAGCAGGATAACAAGACCCCTCACTAACACTGGGGGAAGCAGGGTGGGCTCAGTCTTCTCATCTGCAAAGTCAAGGGCAGTAGGAGGTGGGAAGCAGCGCCTCATCTCAAACCTGGGATGAAAGAGCCTTCCCTACTGGCCCTGCCCACAGTGGTCACACATGCACACACACACACACACACACACACACACACACACACACACACACACACCACACCGGCTAAGACACCAAAGGAGTGGGGGGTGAGGGTTCTGGGGGCCAGGGTGGCAGGGCAGGGAGGGAAGAAAAGCTATTGGTCTCACAGTGCGCCTGCCATGCCCGAAGCCTCGGAGACCCCGTCACTGCAGCACCTGCCCCCGGGTCTCAGGCAGCTTCAGAGCCAGAGAGCTGCCAAGGGCAAGGGCAGCCGAGGCAAAGAGGATGGGAGCAGCCTTGGTGATTCCCACAAAGGACGTGAAGATGCTGATCCCCAGCACAGCTGCCAGCTTACACAGGGCATTCAGGAAGCCAAAGGCTGTGGTCCTGCTCAGGAGTCCCAGGTGCCACATGCAGGACAGAATCCAGCAGGGAGACAGAGAGATCAGGGAGTAAAGGCACAGACAAAGAATACAGAAAAATTGGGAGGCAAGGAGGAAAGAAAACAAAAAAAAAAAAAAAATGAGGGAGAGAGAGGTTAATACGTAAAACTGCAAGAAGCAATTACAAAAACTGCCAGCTTTTAGAGAAAAGCCATGTCCTTCTAATCCCAAAAATGTTCTCATTTAGCCTCCTTTCTCACCCCACTCTTGCCTTCTAAGCCCTAAACCGGCTCCCCTACCCCACCACACTCCAACTACCTCTTGTCAGAAGGATAGAGTTCCACAGTCAGCACATCCAGTGCATTCCAGGACGCAATGCTGACCCCTCCAAAAAGGCAGAGCAACGCGATCATGGCCGACTCGCTGTTTCCGAAAGACAGGAAGAAGCACGAGACACAGGACATCACGCTAGAACCAGCTGGAGCCAAGAGAGGTCAGAACGTGAGCCTGGGGCCAGCAACACCCACTGAGAACCCAGCTGGTCCCATTGGCCAGCTCTGGGACAACCTCACATGAGACTCTTTTCCTAGGTAGCCAGAAGAAGGATTTTTCACTCATCCTCAACGTCCTTGTAATTGTTTATTAATAAAATCAGTAACAACCATTCTTTTGATGGGGGATCTTATATGCAGTTCAGGTTGCCTTGAGCTCATTTTGCAGCCCACATTGGTCTCAAACTTGCAACAACCTTCCTGCCTCAGCCTCCCGAGTGCTGGGATTACAGAAGTGCGCCACCACATCCAGCTTAACAACTACTTTAAAACTGACTATGGGGCAAGCATACATCGATCTATCAGCCTTGTAGATAGGGGTGGTACCATGGTTTCCACGTTTCAGGTGGTGACTGGGCTGAGAAAGGCTAACTTGTCCAAAGGAAGTAGTGGGGTAAGACACAAACCCATAACTTCAAAACTCCTCCCTTCACGCCCACTGATCTACCTGTCTCCTTCACCCTCCAGAGAAGCTTCCACGCCTTGGCCACTGCATCCTGCAGCAGCCCTGATCAACACATGAGAAGGAAGCTCTCAGACCAGTATCTCCCTCAGCCCAAGGTGAGAAGCCTACTGCCAGTGTCCTAGCTGGGTCTGAGCTACCCTCCACCCAGCCTTTCCGCCTACCCAGCATTCTGAGCCTGCCAATCTTGTCCATGAGCAGGGCAGACACGATGTTCCCCGGAAGCACAGCCAGCGTCCCCAAGAAGCTGACGAAGTACACCATGTACGCGCCCTCTCCGGTGCCTGTCACGTCTAGCTGGCAGCCCTCCTTGCTGTGCAGGAACGTGCTGTTCACCAGACGGCTGTTCACAAACTTGTACTCAAATAAGTCTGGGGTGAAGGCCAAGACACACAGGCAGTTACAGAAGATGGAAAGGACTTCCTGCTTGGGGGGGTTCTCAAACTTATGCCGGATACTCACTACAAAGTATCAGAGAATACCAGCATGGAAGCTAAAAATTGTAAAGACAAAATGACCATAAACGATCAATTTAACTTTTTGCAAGGTTTCCGAAAGACAGGAAGAAGTATGAGACACAGGACATCACGCTAGAACCAGCTGGAGCCAAGAGAGGTCAGAACATGAGCCTGGGGCCAGCTTCCCTTTGTGTTCACTCCTTTTGTTTACCTAAGTGGCAATAAGCCATAGCAGTGCCTTGGGTCTAGAAAATTTTTCTGAGAAAAATATTAAAAGTATGAAGTCCTATCCATTATTTCTTTCTTGAAAGATGTAAAAACTTACTCAGTACTCCATTTAGAGGTGAAAAACCTAAATCTGGTTCACAAAATCAGCACTTCACATGCATATAGTTTGAGAAACAGTTTAAGAAATAGATTACTGCAATGATTCCCAATCTGTCCCCCATCAAATATGCCTTTTATTGTTTTCCTTTTTCCCAAGAACCATTTTGAATTATTTTTGCCCTCTTCAAATGCACATTAATTAATATTAATGCCCTGAATTATTACCATTCCAATCAAAGGCAAAGAACTTGATACTTTTGTCAGACATTCTGTCACTGAAAAATGTCTAATATCCATTGCGTTTTCCAGATTATTGATGGTTGTCACTAAGTTCCCAACCCACTTTCCCCCAGGGTTCCAGAGGTTCTCATCTTGGAAGTTATAGGCCAGTGAATGCGGAATGGCTCCTTCTCCCTCAAGATCCACCCAGTTCTTTGGGCTGAACCCCCACTCCCCACCTTACCGGTGTTATAGAACACAGTGTTGACAAATGTGCAGTTGCGGAAGAATGTATTGCTGGATGTGACGTCCTCAAAGTAACACTCCTCAAAGAGAGAATCTTCAAAAGACACCGACTTCAGACGCAGTCCGATGAACCTGAAAGGGCAAGATGATGAGACCTGGCCACTCATCCTCATCCCCTCTCTACATCTTACTCCTTCAGTAGAGTTATGAGCAGATGGACATTGAGGAGAAGCACAGGCATTGCCCCAAACCACCCTGCCTTGAACTCTCAGACTAATGAGATAGACAGAAGGGAATTTTAATGGTCTCCACATACTTGTCATTAAAGTACTGCCCCCCTCGGTGGATCTGATTTTCCAGTGTGAAGTTGAAGGTCACATGCTCCACACGCTCCCCAGGGAACACTTTGGTTCGGGCCGCATAGTCCACAGCCTGCAGATGACGGATCATGTCTGGAAACCAGACGGTCAGGCCGTAGTAGCTGGACAATCGAAAGCAGTGGAATCAGGGAAGATTCAACATTAAAATCAGACTGCCCCATAGTGGGCCAGAAACCCACCTGCATCAGGGCATCCTCACCTTCAGCAGCATCTTTTTTTTTACACTTTTTTTTTTCTTTTTTATCGGTATCGGGGATCAAACTCATGACTGCCTGCTTGCAAGACAGGTGCTTATGCCACTGAGCTAAATCCCCAGCCCCCTTCAGCAGCATCTTACAGTCCTTTCCAGCTACTGTGGTTCTGGGGACTTTAGGGTGCTCTCCACCACGTACTACACTCTTTCCTTTTTTGTTGTTTTTTGTTTGAATTTTTTTTTGAGGCAGGGCCTCACTACATAGTTCAGGCTGGCCTCAAACCCACAGCAATCCTCCTGCCTTGGCCTTCCAAGTGCTACCATGCTCTTTCTTTTCTCTTACGCATCTGTTCTTCCCTCTGTTTAAAACTTTCCCAACTCTCACTCCACAGACTGTACCTTCATTCATCCTTTAGAATTTGGGGCCCAGCCCCAAGTCCACAGAACTCTGCCCTCCCTGCTGAGGCCCCATCCCCTACTTCACAGACGGATTTATCTACTTTGGGTCACACCTACTTCATCTCAGCCCAGTACCCATGCAGAGCAGCAACTTACTCTTGGTCAGATACAAGTGTGTGCTGAGTGAATGAATGCAGTAAAGGAGCTGGGTGGAGCATCGGGGGCACCTGAACAACACCTCTTCATTTCCATTTGTCCCCTCCATTCAAACTTTCTACGTCTCTCTCCCAACCCACCTACCACCAGGACCACCACATAGCACCCACCCCGCTCACTCCCTCACCTGAAGGACATGGTGAACCATACACCCATCATCATCAGAGTGATGCGTCGATACTCTGGACTGAAGCAGGAGAGGAAATTCCTCCAGACCTACAAGGGACCAAGCCAGGGCAGACGGTGGCTGTACCTACCTCTAATGCACACAGATCCCCGTTTTCCTGCCCTACCCTTCCATGTCCACCCTCCCCTCTCACCCAAGCTCAAGCCCCGCTTTCTCTGCCACCTCTCCTGGTACCTTCTCTGTCTCATGCCATCCCCTATTACCTGTCCCCCCAGGCTCAAGGCCCGGACCCCCCAGCGCTGGTACCAGGTCCCTGTGTCCGACTGGATCTCAATCAGCTCATCCTCCTGATGAATTGTCTTAATGTGAGTTACCTGAGGTGAAGAGAAGGAATAAGCAGTCACACATACCGTTTCCCAAGCCCCAGACGGGCCTGCTCCAGTTTCCCTGTGGTGCTAATATCATTCAGGCAGTGTACTCTAAGCAGCCCGAAAAATAGGTAGAAGGAGCTCCAGAAAAGGTGAGGTACGGGCTGGGGCTCAAAAGCTTGGCAGTTTGGGTTGGGAGGCCAGTGGCTTACTGAGAATACTCGCTCCGGATGTCCCTTGGCTCGCATGTTGGTGTCGTGAACCTGCTTCAGCACCATCCAAGCCTCATCATGCTTCCCATTCTAGAGCCACAGACACAATCCCACATCACGGTCAGTCCTTCCTGACTTTGGGTCCCAGAGTTCCTCCCTCCAAAGGTTACAAAAAGACCCAAGGCCACCCACAACCCTTGACCCGTCCATGTATCATCCCAAGCTGGGATGACATAACCAAGCAAGACATAATAGACCTGGGAAGATCAGGGTACAAGGGACTGCCCTGGGGCCAAATGCAAACACAGGTCTCAGGGATTCCCAGATACAATGGAAAGAAAAAACAGAAGGCAAGGGAAATGATGGGCAAGTATGCAGTCAGAGAAAGAGCAGCACCCTAACTCTGCTGGACCCACATATAGCTGGAGGGGAGGGGAGAAGAGGTGGGACTTCTCCTGAACTATAAAGTCATGGGCCAGGGCCAAGACCCATGCCTTAAAATCTTAAGCCAACCATAGCTGAACATGTTCCTGATGTCTATGCCCACAGATCCCCTGTGGAGATGCATTCTGAGACAAGGAAGCAAGATCCAGCCCCCTATAGACTCTTGAGGACCCTTGAGTATAGCCCCTTGAGGAAGAAGGCAGCCAGGCAAGATCACACCAACCCACAAGTGTCTAAACACAAAAACCCCTGATGCCCTCCATCTGCCATCCCACCAAACACAGCCCCATTCACCTCCAGGAAGAAGCGGGGACTCTCAGGCTGCGTAGTCAGAGCCCCAATGGCAAACACAGAAGGAAAGGCGCAGACGAGGACAAAGACCCTCCAGCTATGGAACTGGTAAGCAGAACCCATCTGAAAACTCCACCCTGCCAGAGACAGAGTCACAGCATCAGCAGAAAAGCCAGAGGCCGGGGGCTCCTAGTGTAGGAGCGGAGGAGAAGAGGGAAGAGAGCCAGACTCGGGTGTATCCTGGGGGCAGCTCACCGTAGTGGGGAATGATGGCCCAGGCCATAGCAGCTGCATACACTCCACCAATCATCCAAAACATGCAGAGCCAGCTCAAGTGCTCCCCACGCTTCTCCTGGGCCAGAAACTCCGAGAAATAGGAAAAGACGATGGGGATGGACCCCCCGATCCTAGAGGGCATTAAGAATTCGGCATTAGAAAATGCCCATCTTACTGATCTCCTGCCCCAGTGCTCTGGACTCCTATGCTCCTACCATCTTCCAGAGATTTGGTTTTGGTTTGGTTGGTTTGGTTTTAGAGTACTAGGATTGAACCCAAGTCCTGTTCACTGAGCTATATCCCCAGTTTTTCTTACTTTTTGAGACCAGGTCTTGCTAAGTCACCAAGTTTCCCAGCCTCGGTTCAAACTTGTGATCATCCTGCCTCAGCCTTCTAGAGTCCTGGGTTTACAGGTATGTGCCATCATTCCTGGACCTTTCCATTCTTCCATAACTTTTTTTTTTTTTAGACAGGGTCTTGCTATGTAAGTCAAGGTGGCCTTGAACTCACTGTGCAGCCCCAGCTGGCCTTCAATTCATGGTAATTCTCCTGACTCAGCCTCTTGAGCACTTGGATTGTAGGCAGCATCCCATGCCTGGCTACTTCCATAGCTTTCAGAGACCCCATCTCATGCATATTGCCCTCAAAGCTTCTCTCACTACCAGCCATCAAGCATCCATCCTCAGGTTGGTTGTAACAGGCAGGTGGGTCTCAGAGGAGGGGGAAGAATAGACATTAAATCTTGAAGGAGACTAGAGTCAGTGGGGAAGGATGATAATTGCAGAAAACTGCCTCCAAATAACAAAGACAGGCAATAGCCTGAGGGACCAGGCCAGGAAAGAGGAGTTGGGGCCCACAGGAGCTGGGTAGAGGTGCGGAGGGAGGGAAGGCTTCCTGTGTGAGTCCTCAATTATAGGAAATATGTAGTCTGCAGGAGCTATCTCCAGGGCTCACAGGAGCCCAGGGGTAAGGTGGAGGCCACTAAGCCCCCTGTGGAGAAAAAGGCTCAGGACAGGACTGAAGTGGAGTGCAGGCTCAGGAATAGACCAAGCGCAGAAGGCCTTCTGGATGCTGCAGACAGGCCCAGGGTAGGGGAAGCTCAAAGATGGTTGGGGAAGAAAGGAACTCATTCATTCATTTATTCTACTCACACATATTTAAACATCTGATCTGCTAGCATTATGCTGGGCCCTAAAGAACGACAGTGACTAACGTACAGTCCTGACTTCAAAGGACTCAAGCTGTGGATACTCACCCAACCCCAGAAAGGAGGCGGCAGAAGAGAAAAGTGCCATAGCCCTGGACGAAGGATGAGAAGAAGGCGAAGACACTGTTGACTGAGAGCGAGATGAGCAGACACTGTCTCCGACCCAGCCGGTCAGCCAGCCCCCCCCAGAGGAAGGCTCCCACCATCATGCCCAGGTAGACAATGAGGCCTGGAGGGAAGAGGACAGGCAGCAGCACTGTGAGCAGCACACCTTGGTTCTCCCGTTAGCTAAGCATCTCCAGATGAAACTGCAGTAGAATTAATCAAGGGTGTGACGAAGAGAAGCCGTCTACACAGAGCTAGGAGCAAGTGAGGACAGTATCCGCCTACATCCCCAGATCCTCCCTGGGTCTTCTCTATTGTCCCTTAAAGCAGCAAGAGGTCTCTCCTTGGTATATGTGTGCCAAAGTAAGCACATCTTTTATTCCTTGGGAAAGGGGTCCCAATTCCTTTCATCTTCTCTGGAAATTCCCCACACAAATCCATCCTTCACCCCTGCTCTGAGTGCTTCAGATCCTAAAACTCCCCAGTTTACTGTTTCCCTCATAAAATTAAAATTCGAATTGATCTTTAAAGTAATCTACTCTGTGCAAGGCATGGTGGTGCATGCCTGTAACCCCAGCACTTGGGAAGCTGAAACAGGAGGATCACTGTGAGTTGGAGGCCAGCCTGGGCTAGAAAGTGAGTTCAAGACCACCCTGAACTACATAGTAAGACTTTGTCTCAAAATAGCAAAATAAATAATTTAATTTAATTAAATCACCTACTCTAAACAATGCATTTTACTCATGCCCAAACTTAACTCCTAGGAAGAGACCCATCCAATGCACAGTAAGTCTTTTCTCAACGACTCTAGAGCTTCCCCTTTGGAACAGGCCATCAGACACCACTCTCTGGTCCTTGATCGCTTCCAAGTCTGGATGAGAGACTTAGATCCCCACCCCCACTACCCTAAACTGATCCTCCCATTTATCCCAGGGAGTTTGAAGTATGACTTTATGTTCTCCAAAGGGGAAGGGAACAGGGTGGTAAGAAGGAAGGTTGTGAAGAAACATTAAGCCTAAGGTGGTGGCACGTGCCTGAATCCCAGAATTTGGGGAGGCTGAGGCAGAAAGATGGCAAGTATGAGCCTTGCCCAGGCCATTTAGCAACTTACTGAGACTTTGTCTCAAAATACAAAAATGTTTAAAAAGGGCCAGGAATGTAGCTGAGAGCAAAGGCCCTGGAACTTAATCTCCAGTACCATGACCAACAAAGAAATACATACATAAATAAAGCAAAGAGAAAGAGAGGAAATATTAAACAGTGACCCACCCCACCATTGCTACCTCTTGCAGAACTAACTAAGCTGACCACCATCTACCCAGTCATTAGCCCAAGTTCCAGTCCAGCTGCTCTTCCCCAAACCTCTCTTTCATGTCCAACTTCACCAACACAACCCCAAAAGAGGGTATGAAGGGAATAACGTACAGAGGAACCCTGGGCCCTCTGGAAGCAGTTTGGAAGCAGGATCCAAAGGAGCCCAGTGGGAAGGATTAGAATCATTCCCAAGATCAAGTGTGACTGCAGGTGTTTCTAGACAGGGAACAGCACAGGACTAGAATGCCCTCGTGTCTTACCCAGCATGCCCTTGTTGGAGTCAGACAGGCACATGTCTTTCTCAGCACTGGGCAGCACGAAGCCCACCACGAAGACCTCAACACCATCAGCCATTAGCGCCAGGCCAAGCACAAAATAGAGCGTCCACTGAAAGCGGCCGTGGCCACACTCCCGTAAGATGGCTTCATACTGCTGGGCCAGTTCTTCCCGTTCTTTCCGCCGCTGTGCCTCCCCCCGGCCCCCAGGAGGGCCTTCTCCATCACTCAAGCCCCCTCTTACTCCAGCCAGGGCTGCCCCATCTGCCATCCGCTCGCCTTTGCCCCCAGACTCTGCCCGGGGAATACCCTGATATTCGCCCTCATAGATCTCATCATCCTCATCGTGGCCCTCTGTGGCATCACTGGATGCGCCACCTTCCTCCTCATCCTGGGCCCCTTCTCCACGGTAATAGCCATCTGCAGGAGCAGGGTAGTCATCGTCATCCTCCTCCTCCTCAAATCGAGAATAGGATCTGCGGGAGTATTCATCCTGGACTCTGTCCAGGCCTTTCACCACCTTCTTGGTCGCGTGCTTCTTGACTTCCTTGGCAATGTCTTTGGCCCCACGGATGAAAGCTGCCCGGTCTCGGAAGCCCTCTTCCATGATGGAGTTTCAGGGCACTTCCCCAGATCTGCTTTACTCTCTGTCTTTCAGCTTCTTGTTCAACAGTGAAGTTATGTTCCAGTATCCTCAAAATAAGAGGAAATAGGACCTGGCCAGTGAGCGTCTAGGAATACAAAGGAAGAAGAGGAGGTCTAATCTACACCTTGTTCAGTAGGTGAGCAGGGATGGGAATGGGGTTTAGGGGAAAGGAAGGGAAGGGGGAGCCAGGTTGGTGGGTATAAGCTGGGGAGCCAGGATAACACAGGAAAGGCGTCCTACTTCTTTTCCAAGAATCTCTGGAGACCTAGAAAAAGTAAGCAAGACAAAAGGAAGTTGAGTCCTAAGGTGAAGGCCAATAAAAAAATTCTGTCAATCCCTAGCCCCATCTGGACCATACTGTGAAGAGATGGTATCCTTGCTTCAGGCCATCACATGTAAAGAGGGAAGGGCCAACTTTGGGGCATTCAACTATTAGTCCCCTTTCAAAGCCAGGCCAAATCACAATCATTCACCCTGAGCCTTCCTCCAGATCCCCTACCCTATATCAAGTTTAGACCCCTTGCTTTATTCCCAACCTGCAAAGAACAAAACAGAAAATACGAGAAAGCAGAATTCCCTGCTTTAGTTTGGTCTGGGGTTCCTAGGTACAGAGCTTGGGGAGATGCATTGCAGGAAGCCCTGCTCTACCTGACTGCCTTCAGTCCCCTGGTGACAGCCGGTAGGGAGGCTTCCACAGCTCTTTCACGAGATTCCAATTTTTGTTTGTACCGGGGATCACAACCATGCGCTTGCAAGGCAGGCGCTTATGCTGCTGAGCTAAATCCCCAGCCAAGATTCCAATTTTATAGTCCTCTCAAGGACTTTCTCCCAACATAGCCTACATTGAGCTTCCAGAGTCAGATAGACTTAGCTTTGACCTCCTGCTCAGCACTTACGTACTAAGCAATCAGACGTGTCCTAAACATCCAAGGCTCAGTTTCCTCATAGTTAAAGAGGGGGAGGGGGAGTAAAAATTAAATGATGTAATGCATATAAGCTTTGGACCACAATACCTGGCACATAAAAACTAATGAATGTTAGCTCCATTGAGGCAACTGTAATATAGAGAAGTGCACTACACTACTCACAAGGTCTTACATCAAAAGCTATCTCTGGATGTTCTTCAGAGTAAACATCAAGAAGGGGACATCAGCAAGGGATGTTATCAAGGAGGATGCTGGTTCAGTGCAACACGTGCAACAGATCACCTAAATGATTGAAATCCCAAACTCTGCCACTTTTTCACAGTTGTTAGGCCGGTTACTTAACTTCTGTAAGCCCTTCTGTCCTCAAAGTTAAACTGAAGATAATTATCCAGGTACAGTGGTGCACAGCTGTACTGCCAGCACTCTGGGAGCCTGAGGCAGGAGGATCACAGGTTTGCTCTGTCTGGACAACTTAATAGAGGAATCCTACCCCAAAATTCAAATTTAAAAAGTGCTGGAGATATTTCTCAGAGTAAGCATGAGAATCTAATCTCACAGAAGATATGCTAAAAACATTCTTTTCCTCCTTTCTATAAATTGAAAAGTGTGAAAGAGGCAGGAAGCAGCAAGATACAATTAGGAGGTCATACTTACATACTGTTGCCCAATGTCCTCCCAAGAACCCTCTGTGTTTAAATTAATTCCACATTATCTCCCTTTAGACAGACGGGAAGACTCAAAAAATGGAGACTTGGAACCTGAGCACAATGCACAAGAAGGAAGATCAAAAGCTAAGAAAGTGATGACTGGCTGCTGCCACCTCCCCTCAGAATGTCAGGTATGGTCTCCCTTACATTGGCAAGTGTAGGAACGGAAATGACTGATCAGGCTAAAACACTTTCTAATGTGAGGGTCTAAAGTCTATAGGTGCACCTCATTCCTTCAGGGCCTTGCCTCCTAATTCCCCTTAATCCTTTCTGCTTCTCCTCTAGAAGTCAAGGAAAAAGAGTCCACAAATACCGCATTGCGTAGGCAGCTAGTGGAGAGTAAAGGGGGCCTTAAGCCTCGCCTCAAGAAAAGACTTTCTCCAAAGGGAGGTACAGGATAATCTTCTTTCTTCAAAGAAACAGAAGATGCAGGCCTAGGTTCAGATCAGAGATCATTCTCTAAAAATACACTGCCTCTCTACTCCCACTCATCCAGGCATCCAGGGCCTTCATCCTTCATTAAATCTCTCACTCTCCCTCCCTCCCTCTTTCATATTCTGGTTGAAGAGGGTGAGTGATATTTTGTGATTCAGAGACAAGCACTAGATAGCACAATGTTACACCCTCAGGCAAATGTAAGCAGTGGACCACGGTGACCAGAAGCAGTGACCCCTATGTCAGTGGACCACGGTGACCAGAAGCAGTGACCCCTATGTCACCTTCTTTTCTTCATGGTTCAGGGTCCAGTCCTCCTGCATGAAAGAGAAGGAACTGTAGAATTCCTCAGTGCAAGGCAATCTGCATGCATTTCTTTTCTTTCTTTACCACAGTCTCCCTAAACCTGACAGGAAGCAGATGATCCCTGTGTTTGTTGACACTGTTTACCCCTGAGAAGTACATGTGGTGTAGAGCAGGCTCCCACAGCCACAGCAGGACATGATGGCTCAACAGCCAGCTCCTCCAGGGCCAGCAAGCCCTGAGAGGAAAAAAAAAGAAGACACATTCTTTGCACGAGTGAGGAAGTGGTGCTATTTTTAGTCCCCAAAGCAGCACAGAGTGGCAAAGTCTGTAAAAGAGAGACAACACTTGGAGAGCTGGAGGCAAAATTCAGGTTTACAAGGACCCTTTAAAGTAGATGACCAGAAAAATGTGCCCAGAAGACTTTCTGCAGGTAGTATAAACAGTGGGTGAGGGAACTTCCAGCAAATGCTTCCTTCATGGACTACTCATCCCTGTCCATCAAGTGCCAACTGGGATCTCTCAGATCGCCTGCTCACCCCATCCCAGAAGACAAGGTCATTAAGAAACAATCATTTGTCAAAACAGGAACACTCCTCCCCATTACAGCTGGATGGTTAGGCTCAGCACCCACCCCAGGACCAACAAGGTTGCACCTCTCCTCCCCATAGTCTACCTCTGGGTTAGAAAGATGGGAGCATCCACAATTGGGGGCAGGGGAGGGGTGGTCAGCTGAGAATGCATACGGAGGAATGCACACAGAAGGGAAGGCAGAGGCAGGGATGCAGGAAGGGACCTCCACAGCACACACTCAGAGACAGCCACTAGCAGCATTTGCAGCCATCCCCTTCCCCATCGTGCCTCAGCCCAGTATAAAAGACGAGCCCCAAGAATTTACTAAACCATTCCTCCAAGAAAATCCCCACCCTTGGTCCTGCTGATGGACAAATGCCCACCATCACTCAGCAACCCACACCAGTAATTGCTTCCAGCCCCCATCATCCATGCCCCTGACAGCTGATCCTTTAGCATTTCTTGTCACCCCAATGTTTCCATTCTTCATTTCCCTCCCCTAAACCTTCACCTGCCCTCCACTCCCGCCGCCCCCCTCCCCCCCCCGTCGGGGCAAGCAGACTGAGGCACATGCACAGCCAAGGTCATTTATCACTCATTCATGGGGGGGTGCAAGGTGAGCCGGGGACTGGAGTTTAAGAATCAGAGTCTATCTAAAAACGCCCCACTAGGCTAATTTCTGAAAAGGATGGTCAGGGTTTGGTAAAGGAAAACACACACACACGCACAGACACACGTATTTCCCCATAGGCACACAACAACTGAAATAAATGCTGGTTTCCCAAAGCATCACCAAGCCTTTTACTCCTAGAGCGAGGACGGTCACCCCCCCCCCACCACCACCACCACCACCAAGCAAAGCATCGGAGGATAAAATGGCTGCAAGGCGAGGCAAGGATGCTTCTGCAGGGCGGGTGGAGGTGGCAGAGAGGGTCTCACCTGGGATGGGTCCCCGGGTAAGGGAGTCCAGGGTGAGGGCAGGGGTCGGGCCGCGGGGCTGAGGCGTCAACGCGACCGCCTCGGGCACCGGGGAAGCGGCACTGCAGACCTGCCCCCCACCCCAGCGCGTTCGGCCCCGCCTCCGCCTCCCCCCACCGCCCGCGCGCCGCGGAGCTCGGGAGAGACCATTTGGGGGGGAAAGGGGGAGGTTGGGGAGCGGACTGAGGGCACAGGGGGAAACGACCAAAGGAGCTGAGGGGGTGTCACTGGGACAGCTGAAATGACACACAGCCCTTCCCAGACCCTGCCTCGTAAAAAAGAAAAGAAACTAAGCAATACAAAATAGTAATTTTAGGAAGACAGAAAGCAAGGTGGTAAATGAAATAAAACATCCCCTTCCTCAGCCACAGGAGGACTGAACCCAGGAGTTTCGGGGGCTCCTGCTGCCCAGAAAACACCTCCTTTTTTCTTATCCACTGTTCTCAAACTCCTTTTCTTCAGCCCCCTTCCAAATCCAGAGTGCTCAGACTCCAATTTCCTGAATATTTTAGAGAAAGCAAGGCTAGCAATGTGTGATTTCTATTTTGAACAGCCAGACGCAGGTTCCCAAATCCCGGCCCTCTCTCCTCAAGAAATAGTTGCAATTATTTATCTACAGTGCAGATATCATCATCGGCTCAGCCTCTTTGCAGAGGTGAGCACTGGAGAAGCTGGGAGGAGTTTTATGGGGCTGATCAACTGAACGTGCTCCCCTTCCATTCATTTGCTCCCATAACTCAAAAAGGGATCTCCTCAATCCCCTTTCTGCTTTCTTTTAGGCCTCTCACCTCACACACACACACACACACACACCACGCCCGCTCCTGGGCAGAAAACAATGAATTTCAATTCTTTAATCTTTCCTTTGCCCCTGTAGCCAATACCCCGACTCAGAGATCCAAGACATACCATTTGGTCACAAGGATGATCATCCCTCTCCAGGAAGGAGATGGTATGTGCTGATTTGAGGCTTTCATTCTGCGTGTATCTTATCTATTCCAGGTAAGGCCTTAGAATGTTCTGCACAGAACACCGATCAACACACTTTTGCTTCTTGGCTAAGTTCCCTGCCTCTGTGAACCTCAGGTTTCTTGTCTGGAAAATAAAATTGTCTGGGACTAGAAGCTGCACCAGGTGGTTTTCAATTTTAGCACTGTAAGATCTGCTTTACTAAATGTAGAAGTTCCAGAACGCTAGAACATATTACTCAGAGAAGGTTGATCTCATGTCCCAAGAGATATCGTAGGTGGTATTTGGCATGTTGAGCTCCCACTGGACCTGAGTTTTGTATGGTCTGAAGCTGAATATTGGAAATACTAGTTTGTGCCAACAAAGTTCACAATTTATTGAGATACAAAACCATAACACATCAATATTGTAAAAATTCAACTGTCACTCAGACTGAAAACTCACGTGTACATGTCTAATATATTCTCTCCCTAAAACCAAATCAAAATTAAGTCAATGTCTAAATGCAGTGATAGCTGAACAGCAGGATTTTTATCTTTAATGGCATCTGGCCATCCCCAATAAAAAATCATGCCAATGGGTCCAGAATACTCTTCTTGGCAACAGTTCTCTACCCCACCTCTCTGCTACAGGCAACCTCGCCAATGCTCCTAGACTACTTACTACAATGACTAAAACACTTTTTAGGAAGGCTCTTGGAATGCTTTGCCCACGTGGGCCTCAGAGACTCTCTTTACTGGAATTTCAGTGCTCACCCCACTTCAGGTTGAGATATTTTTTATTTAAGCATGTTAATATTTCCAATAGGATTAGAGCCAAATCGTACTGGCAGGAAGCCATTTCTTCTCTTTAAGGTGATTTTGTGTACTCTCCACAGATATACATACTTGCTACAATAGAAATCTTGCACTCTTAGAAGAAATTTTTAAGTTGAGGGAAAATGTAACCCATTTCCCCCAGATGCCATGGCTCCATCTTCCTCCTCACCATTTCCTCAGTCCCCTCAGCTAGGTTCTCTAACATTATTGTTACTAGAGCCTCTGCCCTTGGCCCTCCCAGCCTTTTTTCCTTTCCCTAGCTTACCTCAGGCAGCCCCGCAGCTTTAATGCTGCACCTACCTTGATGATCCCATTTGATTGCTATTCCAGACACTCCTAAATCAAAATGTACCATCCACCTTCTCAACATTTCCAGATGGATATCTTAACACTGGGGCCACTAGAATTCCCAAGCCAACAGCCCCCAGCCGAAACAGCTTCCTCCCTTTCACCTCTGTTTTAAAGGAGGTAGTGTGTGCCTCAACAGGAAAAATATCTGAGAAGCACTGACCTGTGGGAGTTCCTTAACTGGCTCTGACCTAAGCCCCCAACACCAAACAGCACTCTGTGCTAAATACTATGCTATTTATGTTTCTGCCTACAAACATCCTATTTCTCCTGAATCAAGTTTTTCCTTCATGCTTGCCTGAGAAGCCTCTACCCGCTCCCTCATCCCCACCCTACTGGGGATTAACCCCCAGACCTTCACACTGAGCTACATCTCCAGCTCTTTTTAAAAATTACTACTTTTTGAGACAAAGTCTTTCTTGCTAAATTGGGCAGAGTGGGATCAAACTTGCAATCTTCTTGCTTCAGCCTCCCAGAGTGTTAGGATTACAGGTATGAGCCACCATGCCGCTACCATTCTTTTATGATTAAATTCAGGCATCACTTTTTTAAGTTTTCCTATATTTTCATGCCAAGTTAGATGCCTTTCCTTCTAAAAATATTTTCAGTAACATTTTGTCACTTTTTTTTTTAGCCAGTCTCACCATATACCCCAGGATGGCCTCAAAATGCAGCAGTCCTGCTGCAGCTTCTCAAATGCTGGGAATACAAGCATGCGCCACCACACCTAGCTTATGTGTCACTTTTGACAGCAGAATTTGTTTATCCTTGTATTCTAAGATGCCATCAGTCTTTGTAGGCACCATTAAAATGTTACATTAAAAATGAGCAATAGTAAGCCAGGCGTGGTAGCACACACACTTGTAATCCTAGCACTCAAGAGGCTGAGGCAAGAGGATTATTGAGTTCAAGACCAGCCTGGGCTACAAAGTGAGCCCAAGGCCAGTCTGAACTGCACAGCTAGCAAAGCCGTTTCAAAAAAAAAAAAAAAAGATGCAAGAGAACAGAAGGACCAGGTTCATCTTTTCTTGCCTAGTTTAGAGGAGTTCAAAGATATGTAAGCCAAAGAAGGGAGTACATAACAACAAGACTATGTGGCAAAAAGGACCACTGGATTTGTCTAGCTGCTGAAGTCTTGCAGCATAGATTTAAATGTTAAGCAGGTTTGAAAGAGCTGAAAATGGGCACAAAAATAGGAGTAACATACCGACTCCTTAAATAAGGTATCTGATGGTGAAGAACAGAAAAACCATTTACTGAAAATGAACATTTACTATCCCAGCTTACTCATGTTTTCCAATTATGGAGGATACTTGGTTCCAAATGAAAGCGAATTAACTGGGCATTTAGCTCATGGGCATAAGCACCCACCTGGCAAGCACAGGGTCCTGAGTTTGATTACCAAAAAAACACAAACAAATGAAAGCCAATTAGGCTGCCCTCCACCTTCTCTCCCTTCTCTTAGTGTACAGTGATGTAGTCCAGGCTGCCCTTGAACTGTGTAGCCTGGGTTACTTCAACTCTTGGTGATCCTCCTCCTTCAGCCTCCTGAGTGCTGAGATCACAGACATGTGTGCTACCACACCCCATCTTTCCATCTTTTAACATAACCAAATACACATACGGGCTGACACTCAAGATAGCACACTATATATATTATTTTCATTTAATGTAACCTAGAGATCTCTCCACAACAGTATGCAGTGGCAAACTTTTTAGGGCTTTCAATGATAGGTGCCATAGGTTCACTACTACTAATACATAATTTTTTTGATGCTGATTTAACTCATGACCTCATGCATAATAAGGGTATTCTACCACAAGGACACCCTCAACCCTTCACCATTTTCCTTCCAGTTGCACAGTACTAGACTGTGGATTTACCAATTCAACCAATCCCTTATTGATGGACGTGTAAGTTGTTTCCCATTTACTATTATTTTAAAGTGTTACAATGAAATTTTATGCATGTTATTTCATATTTTTGACAGCACACTTCTAGGCACTTTACTTCTATTCTCAGTTTTAATGTAACATCTATATGTTAAAAGCTGTAAGACAAGCTTTTCTATAAAGAAACAAGTACTCTAATGCACAACAGAGACCAGCTATTATAATAGCACATTACAGAACAAGCCTTTAAAATACATACTAGCTGAACACAGCAACATATATCCTCTAATTCCAACTGTTTGGGAGGCTGAGGCAGGAAGATCACAATGTCAAGATCACCTGGGCAACTTACTAACACCCTGTCTCAATTTAAAAAAAATTAAAATAGCTGGAGATACAGGTCCATGGTAAAGTACCCCAATTCTATTCCCAATTCACCATAAATAAATAGCCCTGAACTTTACCTTACCATTCCTCACCACACCCTGATATTTCTTCTTAAAAGTAACTTTATCAAAGAAAATACCAAAAAGAGTAAACAAAGAATATAGTTTTATTTTCTCTGCACACTTGCAAAACACATGGGATCAATGTAAAAAAGACAAAAAAAAAAGAAAAGAAAAACCTCCTGTGAAGAAATGCACATTAAATGGAGGAGGTGAGAGGGATCTGTGCCTCAGCCACACGAAATCATAGCCACTCTCATTGGTCCAAGGAACTGAAGAAAAGATATTGGGTGAGCACATGAGGAAAGAAAATCTATTGAGGGAGAGGACCCCGAAGTGGGCCCCGAGGAGGAACTGGAGGCCGAGGAGTAGGTCTGGGTGGAGGCAGCGGCCCCCGCTGGTAGCCATAGGGAGGTGGTCTTGGAGGCCCAGTGTACCCATGAGGGGGCATCAGTGGAGGAGGCCCACGCATGCCGTGTGGTGGCATAGGACCTGGGTGACCTGCAGGAAGAGAAAGAAAAGTTAGTACAAGTGAAAAACAGGAAATAGTTGATACTGGGAGAGATGAGAGAGAGCAGTGAAAAAAGATAGAAAAAGTGAAAGAAAGCATACAGGACACAAAGTGTACAAAGAAAGCTATGAGGCTCTATGTGAGATAAGAAAGTGGCTGATTACTCACCCATAGGAGATCCAAATGGAGGCCCTCGGGGGGGCATGCCCATGGGAGGAGGTCCAGGGTGAGGCATTCCAGGCGGTGGCCGGGGCGGGGGCTGTCCCCCAGAGCCTGGAGGCCCAGCATGGGGATGGCCTAAGCCATGGGGGCCATGGTGGGCCAACTGCATCTGAGACATCCCTATGAAAATAAAACAGACACAGGAGACAGAAGACATTAGAGAAGAGGGCATAGACAATGAAGAGTAATAAACCTTTAGAGAAGCATACAGAAAACAAGGTGGGTAAAAAGTGCCCCTACCCTTGACCCCAACCCAACAGTACAAACCACCATGCAGAAAACCAGGTCCTCACCCATCCTACTTGCTCCTTTGATTTAGGTACTGTAAGAGTGATACAGAAGCATGCTAACAAGTACAGGGATTTGTTTGCTGCTGACAGGATCAGGAAAGGTAGGAGACACTACCTGCACAGAGATCTAATTATAAAGGATGACTAAGAGTTCTTCAGGAAGTAAGTGAGCATAGACCACCCCACAAAAAGACTGGGATGTGCAAATCACCGATGTGTCAAACAGTAAAATATGCTCCAGAAAACATCAGTAATTCAGTGATTAGGAGCAACATACAAGAGTAATGGGCTGGGGGCAAGATCAGGAAAACTCCAATTACTACAGTAATTTGTTTCTGTTTTACTATATAAATAAAAGGAACCAACAGAAGAATTTTAAGAATGTAAACACCTATCATAGAAAAAGTATTTTGCTAAGTAAATAACTGATGTTAAAGTGAAAAATTACTATAATAAATCAAGTGTGAGCCTGCCTGGCAAGTGAAAAATCCTGAGTTCAATTCCCAGGACCATAAAAAATTTTTAAAAAATAACTCAAGTGTGAAATAATGAGCAACTGCACCAGGCGTGGTGGCTCACCCCTGTAATTCCAGCACTCAGGAGGCTGAGGTGGGAGGATCATTGTGAGTTCGAGACCAGCATGGGCTACAAAGTGAGCTCAAGGCTCACACTGAACTGCATAGCAAGACTTCATCTCAAAAAAAAAAAAAAAAAAAGAAATAAGGAGCAACTAAGAGCCTGAATGAGAGGACTGGCAAGGGGGAAGTGTTAGGGAAGTATATCTTGGTATGAAGAGTGGAAGGATGGGAAATAGTCAAGCTCCCAAACTTATGAATCATGCACCTGAAATCAAATACTATTAGAAGAAGAATAGGTTTAAAAGGGAAAATTAAAGCAGCAGGATTATAGGTCTGGCTTGTTAATAACCTCGGACTAGAAGAGAGGCTGAGATAAGAGGGGATCACAAGTTTCAGCCCAGCTTGGGCAACTTGGTGAGACTCTATGTCTCAATGAATAAATAAAAAGGGCCAGTGCAAAGGCCCTGGTTTTAAGCCCCAGTGTGTGCATGCACACACAAAACACCATGGACTACAGAAAAAGATCCAAGACACATCGGGAAATCTACATAATTAAAACTATGAATAGAGACTGAAAAAGAGAACCAAGCAAAAAACCTAGGCATAAGTAGGGAGAAACATTAAAGGTAGCTGAGACCAATGAAACAATGAAAGGACAGGAAATTCAGAAAAACAAGCAAAAGACAAAAGTTTGAAACAGGTCTCAAGTACAGCAGAAGTTAAACCAGAAAAGGAACAGAAGTGTCCCCTAGATTTAGCAACTGGCTCACTGGAGTGCAACAAGATGAGATAATGAAAGTGAAATCAAGGACACAAAAAGTACACAGTACACAATACTCTTCAGAAAAAGACAGTGTGCAAGTATATAAAATAAAACATTTTGAGATTGTTTTTGTAAAAGAATGTGTGAAGGAAAGAACAACTCTGGATTTGTCAAGCCTGAGGAACAAAAGGGAATAGGATGAACCCTTCTACCAAGCTTACCACTCCCTTACCCAGCCAAAAAAACCCTACCTGGATGGGGCATCCCAGCTGGTGGGAAAGGGTGAGGATGTGAATGTCCATGACCTGGATGTCCGGCTCCTGGGGTTCCTGCTGATGGGGGACCATGTCCTCCAGCCCCAGGAGGCATAGGTGGTGGGGGCATGGCTGGCGGTATTCCAGGTGGGAGCGCTCCAGGAGGTGGCACTGGTGGTGGGAAGGAACCAGGAGGCGGCATGCCTATATGGGAAATGAAAGACAGAGGATTTGATAGAAATAAAGACAGAAGGGCTTGAAAGTACCTATCTCAATCCTCTCCAGGTAGGGTGAGTTCTGTACCTTCCCATTAGTGCTCAAAAGCCAAAAGCAATGTTAGGCAACTCCAAAGTCAAGCTCAGAAGAAACAACTTTCTTCAACATCATCTCACTACATTCTTCTGACTCATCAATCACTGCCTCAATGTGCCCTTTCAGGGTTTTTTTTCTTCCTCTTTTCCTTCTCCTCCAACAGCCTCAAGACAAAGATATTTTGAACCAAAAGCTTTACCTGGTGGAGGAAGTCCAGATCCCAATGATGATACCACAGGATTAGGGGCAGAGGGTGGAGGGGGTGCGTCAGCAAACAGCTGATGAGGACGATCAGCTTGAGAGAGTGGGTTTTGGGCTGCCAGAAGCCGTTCAGCAGCTGAGCCATGGCGCTCACCCTTAGAGTCCTTCTTGAAGGCATAAGACACAGTGATAGGGCGATTACAGAGATACTGCCCATTCATGGCCTCAATGGCTGCATCCGAAGCATCAAATGAAGCAAAATTAATAAAGGCATAACCTTTGGAGTTGCCTGTGTCAGGGTCCCTCATAATTTTGGGTGTTTGTAAGATGACCCCAAAGGCGCTGAAAGTATCATAAAGCAGCTTCTCATCAATCTCTGGGTCCAGATTCCCAATGAAAATGTTGGCCCCAACATCCAGGTTTTTGTTATGAGCTGATGCTTTGTTCACCCTTATTGGCTTCCCATAGAGTTTGATCATGTTCATAATCTTAATGGCATAGTCAGCATCTTCCTCACTCAAGAATTCAACAAAGCCATAGCCTAGGGAAGAGAAGAAGGGAAGGTTAACAACTCAAGTGAAGATTCAGAATGGGGCACAACTTATGCACCCTCCAATCACAAAGAACATGAAACTTAAGAAAAAGAAATCCTTCACAAACTGTCAACCAAAGCTCAAAGGAAAGCAATCCTTATGCTGTCCATTCCAAAACAGTTGTGAATACTGTCAGGACTCTTCAGGAACTTTTATCCCTTAAATATACAAGTTCACTTCTTGTCAATGTACTCACCTTGGTGCTGGCCAGTGACTCTGTCCTTTGGCATATGGGTGTTGACTACTGGCCCAGCCTGGAGAAAGAGTTCCCACAGCAGTGGTTCACTAACCTTCTCGTCAAGGCCCCCCACATAAACAGTAGCATCTAGAAGGAGAGAAACAAAGAGAAGGAGAAAGACGGTTAGGGCAGGGTAAGAATGACAGGAAAGGGAAGGGTGATGGGAACATGAAGAGAGAATCCAGGAAAAATTGGAGTGGGGATAGGGGGACGGGGGAAAAGATCGTTAGATCAAGCACATAAAACGTCCTAGGACCTAGAGAATCTTCTAAAAATACAATTTATGTTCTGCTACAGATTTTGTCTTTCTCACTGAATTTTTCCTTTGTCTTTCTTTTGGGTGGGCAAACAGAAGGGGATTAGTCCCAGAAGCAGTACATACACAGGCCTCAGCCAGCACCCAACCAACCCGCCCACAGTAACCGCGAGGACTGGCCTCGAGCCTGCCGAAGGCTCTGGTCTCCCGGACTGGCGGCGGAAACGCTGCTGACGCTACTCAGGGCATTTTAGCTCCCCGGGATCCATTTAGGATCGCCCCTTTCAGTTACCCTGATTCCGTTCAGAGATCGGCCCCGCAGCCATGGCGAAAGAGCTCCCGCCGTCTCTAAGCGGCAGCTCCGCCCGCTGACCCCGGTTACTACTTCCGCTTCCGGGGCGAAGGCGGGTGTTGGACGTGCTGTGTGGAGGATGAGCCGGAAGCGGCCATTTTAGGAGGACCTGACAGTAAACGACTCGGAATACTTTGGGATTGACCCAATGATGGGATCGGAAATTCAGACCCCCGTAAAGCCTCGCTGTGACGTTAGGAAATTACACTCTTCCCAAAAGTGTAAATCGAAACTAACAGAACTTTTTCATATCTTTTGTAGCCAAGTGATCCAGAAGAGTGTATGCTGAGGAAAGCCCCAACCTGTGGACTTGGCTGCCTTCTATCTAGGACCTACAGCCCTAGCTTGGGTTGCAGGTATTTTATTTTCTCACAGGAGTGTGTTGCACAGTGTCCGAGCCTGAGTGACGTCTGAGCTCGCCTAATGGTCACTGCATAGTGGGCGGGACTCCAAGACAGGGTATGAGCAAGGATCAGGGTGTTTGTTATTGAAGCGCAGAACACATCTACAAGAATATTTTAATATGCTCTGTCCCATCGACCTCTAAGTGAAAGACACAGGAAAGAAAACCCTATTTCTAAATTGCATGTGAATTCTGCAGCGCCTCACCTGCCCAATTCCCTTGTTTCTCTGGCAATAATATGGTGGGTGCTTTCCTCATCTGTCCCTAGCTCCCAAATAATTCTTTGGCAGGCCTCTTTATAACTGTAGGATTCTTTATTTAATCACAACAAACAATTCCAGTAAAGTGTAGAAATACTGTGCTTTAATGAACTCCTTAAACAGAAATGCCACTACAAAAAAACATAGTAGGAAGAGGTGTCACTCCTATCCACCTCATTCCCACAGAAAACTGTAAGGGAAAAAATGGAATTAAGGCAGCAGCAGGAGGGGTTGAGAATGAGGTCTCTAGGCCATCTTTTTGGTATTATAGAATCACTATCTCATGATTTAACAGGATGATCCAAGAGATGGGATTGCTCCCCCCAAAAAGTGGCAATACTGTTTCAGATAGTTTTTGTTTCTTAATTCTTCATATTACAGGAAACAAAAATATCTTTAGGAACCAAAGAAAACAGAAGACCTGAAGATTAGCACCGGCATCTGTTATGGAAATCAAGTCTAGTAAGTATGCTTGTTTAAGAGCTTAAATGTGAAATCTGAGGCAGCACAGCTAGCTTTGCAAAACTGCAGTTACATAAAATACTTTCTCTTCCCACTTTCCCCTCAGCCCTGCTTTTGACCACACCAGCAATATCAGCGGGATTGGGGGAGAATGTTATTTGGATCATCTCTGTTGCAATGATCTTCCGGAGATATTCTTGATGTCCATTTCTTTAATAACTCCTGAAGGTGGGATAGCTCATCCTGGAGGCCAGCGATTGTGGAAGCTGAGAGGCCCATCTGGGGATGATGCAAAGGGCAGAGAATATTATCACAGCTCTAGCTTTTTGCTTGTTATCTGTCCATTATTTCTAGTATCTTTAATGGGCTTTCTCCTTCCAGCTATGCCCTAAATTCTACTGAATCTAAGTCACAAGCAGTTTTTTTCACCTGTTATATTCCCAAACCTACTCAGATAACAGAAACAGTACTTCATTTCCCAATCCTCCCAGCCACCTGCCTTTCCAGCTCTGTTCATCTGGTTCAGCGATCAAGGCTACCCCTTCCAATTCCTGTCTTCTTTCTTACCTGGACTTCAGGCCTTCCCCTCAGGTAGCAGCGTTTCCAGAGCCTGATTTGAGGTCCCAGATAACTGGGTAGGAGTAGCCCTGGAGGTAAAGGGCAGGCTCCCCAATGTGAGGGAAGTCCCCATTCCTGGTCAGCCAGGCTTTCAGAGGATATAGCAGGTCGAGGCAGCCATCGAGAAGAGACTGTCAACAGGGAGGGATTGTCTCGCCAAGGACAGAGTTGATTCAGCGGGGTTAGGGCTCCTCTAGAGAAGAGCCACACAGAATTGGGGGGTCCAGGAAGCATGAGGCTTGGCTAAAGAGAAAAGGGATGTCAACTGGCAACTGAAAAACAAGATAACCCAAGTTTCTCCAGTCTGTGTCACAAAGGAGGTATCCAACCTTTATCTACTCAATTCACTAGTTACTACAGTTACAGGCCTCCCCCTCAGAACAGCACCTACTCATGATCAACACTCATCTGCTGTCCTCATTAGGCTTCCACTAGCACTCAGAGCTGAAAACAGTTGATTTTAGAGAAACTCGTAAAATGTGAGCATGAGATAGGAATACTAATAAATGAAAACAAGAGAAGATACCTTCTGCTTTCCAAGCCTTTTATCTTCCTGGTGACAAGGCTATTAAATGATAACTGTGGAAGAGGAATGATGTACCTTCCCCTGAGGAATTCAGACGTTCTGTCTTTCTACCTTCTAGTAGCATATGCCTGGGGGAAAGTCAAGAGCATTTAGAAGTTTAGACATCTCACCTGCTGTCTAGGAAACCTGAGATCTGGATAATGTTCTCGGGCATATCTGGGGTTATGGAATTGTAGTATCTGCTTATTGCTGTAGCGTAAATCCCAGTCCCAGACAGACAGCTGCAAGTTAACAGACTTCTCAGCTGAGGGTGAGGAGTACTCTGGGGTGTACATTTGTGTATAGGAATTAAACTGTATAGAAAAAAGCAAGAAAAAGATGATTAAACAAAAAACTATACTCCAAATCTAGAGATAAATCATGAAATTCTCGTATCTACTTCAGTTATCAAACATACAGCAAAAGTCTAATGCTGACAATGAGCATTAACTTACCCCTCCCTCCCATAGACCTCACTTCTCATAAAATACATCACTAGGGAATAAATTAAAACCAGTGGTCACTGACCTGTGCACTCTGCTTCCCACGCTCCCAGGGGGTATTCCTTAGGAAGGTAAGTGTATCGGGAACCCTGACACTGTCATGAAGAGCAAGAAGGAAAAACTCAGAGAATTCAAACTCCACTGGAAACTGCTGGAGGAGCTGCCAGACACAGTCAAGGAAAAGAAGAAACACTGGGGCCTGAGAAGAAAGACATTTAGAGGTCAGAGGGCTCACAGAAACATATAAGAAATGATAATGGAGACACAGGGAACCAGGCATTAAAGAGGTCAGGGGAGCAGTCCTAACTGAAGTAATGGCCTCTCTCATCCTAGTCTAAGCTCAGCCTAACCTTGAGACCCTTCTAATCTAATCCACCTTCTGTAGATTATGCCATGTGCTTTTTTTCTCCCCTTATTTGCTTAATAATGCCTCCCACCATCCCATGCCTTCCCCCCAGATTTTTCTCACCTCTTCACTGGCCCCAGTTCCCCCAAGCCGAGTCAAGAAGGGGTGTCCAGCTGCCACCCACTCTCGCTGCACTAGTGCTTGGAAGCCAAACAACGTTCGGGCTTCAGGAGCTGAAAGCAGCTGGACGAGTGAAGAGAGGAGGCCATTGAAATCACGATCACCGCGCTCTGGGTGATAAAGAGGAAGAAGGGACAAAGAAGGGAAGTCCAAGAAACTAGGGCAGGAGAGAATGAGAGGAAGAAGTATGGCAAGGAGAAGTGGGGCACAGAAGGGGAAAGTTAGGGGTAGTCAGGATTGAGAGGACACAAAGAATACAAAGAGCTTGAATGATTCACTTGTTTAGGATTCTCATACTAGACCGAAATATCCACTTTTACATGTAAGAGGCAGAATTGGTTCTTACGTCAGCTTCCACCCAGCTACATTTTCCATCCACTGATGGAAAGTGGGGCGAGGGGTTAGCACAGCCTCCTGTTAGGAGGAACAAACTAGTGGGAGGTGGGGCCGCTGCTGAAGGATGAAGAGTTAGAGCTCATGAGTAGTTACTAGTAACAGGAGGGGAGAATGCTAGCACTAAAAGAGGATAGGGAGCTTTACAAATCTCGCTCCCTGAACAGAATTGAGTTAGTGTGTAGAGGAAACAGGCTGACCCAGGAAACTCACCTTGAAGTACTACGGAACGAACCCTGGACGTCACTAAAACTGAAATATCACTGGCCTTACGCAGACAAGACCTGAAGGAAGAAGGGGGTAAATGATTAGCCTGAGAGAAAGGAGACATGGGGTCATGGGATCGAACAGAAGTAAACTCCAAAATCCTGCCTCTTCTAAGAAGCAGGAATAACAGTCTTAGGAATCAGAGAAGTGTTCATCAAAGGCAGTTTAGGAGGCCACATTAGCAGAAGTTGAGAAGCTGAAATTAGAGTTAGGGGAAGGGTACCTGACATGGTCCAGCCATCGTGTTCCTTCCAGGGCTGAGAGCCACTTATCCTCAGACACAGAAGAGTCTGGCAGAGGGTAGAGGGGTCAGAAGGGCAAAAAAGTCAGAACTTGGGATTCATTTAGCCCAATAGGTTAAATGTCAAGTAGTGGTTACCTAAGAGTAAGGGTGGGAATGAAAAGTGGCCATAAGTTTTCTAAAATTATATTTTGGAGAATATAGCTCAAGGGTAAAGAACTTGCCTAGCATGGGCAAGGCCTTGGGTTCACTTTCTAGCACCATAAAAAAAGTTTTGTTGATGGTTCCTCATTGTAAATATATTAAGATTCATTGCATACTTAAGATGGGCAAAGTTTATAAAGTATAAAGCTGTTTTTTAAAGGAATGAGTTGGGTGTAGAAGATAATTAGTAAATGTGTAGGAGGTAGGAGCAAGGTGTGGTAGCACAGCCCTATAAACCTAGCACTCCAGAAAGCTGAAGTATGAGAATCCTAAAGAAGAGATCCTGTCTCAAAAAATAAAATGGACTGGGGATGTAGCTTTATCCTAGATTCAATGCCCAGTACTGGGGGGGGAGGGGAGGGAGAGAGACAAAAACCTATGGATCATTGGGTTAAAGGATTTGTTATCAATAACAGAAGGATTAGAATGAGAGGCCAGAAGTTAATCTCACCAGGAAGACAGAGTGCCCTCAGCTTCAAGTGTGCAAGCTGGACATCTGCAAGGCTGGGCAGCTCATCCATCGTGTCTACTAGTACAACATCAGAATGCCCAGCCTGGAGCATTGACTCCACTGCTCTGGAAGAAAGAGAGTCCAGAATGAAAGGAAGGAGATGATCCTGAGCACCTAACCCTTGAGTCTTCCCACCAAGCCCCCTTACCTAATATCCTCCTTGTTAGGGTCACTGGCTGTATAAAAGCCTCCACATCGGAGAAGATCACTGCCCCCAGGGTGATGCCAGGACAGGCGCTTCAGATGGGGGAGAAGAGGGTCACTGTGGGAGATGCTAGCTCCAAGCTACCCTAGCCTTCATGGTAAACTCACAGAGAGCCCTGTCCACGTTGTCCCCATATCCTCCCATGCCCCATCCCCAGCCATTATTCTAACTATTACACTGACCGGTCCACGGCCCTGATGGAAGTGGCCAAATGCTCTCCTGACCTCGTTATCCAGAGTTCTGTTAGGGACCCAGAAGTAACGGGGGAGGCTGTGAAATTGAGAAGGATGTCTCAGATGATTGGCTCAGTGACCTCATTAAAATGTAAAGCTGTTAATACAAGGAATCTGCTTGAGGGATTTCAAGTTTGGAGAGCAAGGAGGTAGCAAGGACAGTTCACACATGTACTGGGGGCAAGAGTTTATAGGAAGTCCTAATTTTAGAAGATCAGGGAACTGTGAGAATTGGGAGGGCAGCAGGGTTTGGGGTTCCTGGAGTGGGAGATCACCTGGTAGCTATGTCGAACCTCTCATTGACAGTGCTAAGCCTCCAGCCTCTGGCTCCCTGCTTCTTTCGCTCACTTTCCCAGTCTTCCAATGTCTCCAACAGAGGTATAGGTGGTTTTCTGAAGCCAGAACCCTGGGCTGGGCAAGAATGAGGAATAGAGGAGGAAGAGGTACCAGAGGCAGCTTCTCTCCTCATTTGTCCTCAGCCACCCTCTGTTTTTTCAAACTGTACTTTTTCTTTACCCTAAAGCGCCTCACTCACCAGCCTTCCTTTGAGTTATCCCCACATACAGCTGGGTTTGACTGCTCTGAGCTCTGGCTTGGACAATGGCCATGGTCACCTTAGAAGAAAGCACATCCCATCCTTTTGTTTTAAGCAAAAGAAGTAAAAAGGAAATGGAGGCCTTGTGTTCCTCCATGTCTTTACCATCAACAGAGAAGAGTTACCATCAACAGAGAAGAGCAGCAGAAACAGATCCCAGAGAAGGGAGGACCCACAGGTCATGGGGACTGGGATTAGGAGAACAAATTTAAAGCCATCAAATCATAAAATTAAATTTTGGGAAGAATTTTAGGAATACTATCATCCAACCCTTCCCATTTTTCAGAGGCACAAACTTGCCAACAGTCACATTGCTGCCAGTTGGCAGAGGTAGGCTAGAATTCAGGCCCTTTGAGCTCATGGTATTATACTTCTCTCAGCCTTTCAGCCTCTCCTTGAGGAGAAAAGCAAGAGGAATGATGAGAGAGACCCTGAAGGACAGGAAAAAAGAAGTGCCAGGAAGAGGACGCCCAAATTGCAAGAAGAGGAATCTTCAAGTTCAAAGCTCCTTACCTGAAAGGCCTGAGGTTCTAATCCTCCAGCCTCAAAACCAACCCTAAGCAGTCGGAAGTCTTGGCCATGAATCAGAATCTCCTCAGGGATAAATTTAAGCTGTGATCCTGGACGGAGGAGCTGAACTCGTGATAAGCCACTCACTGAAGTTGAGAATTAGAGAGCTATATAACCATATGGTCCCTCTGGGAGGAACTTGTCCAACTCATCCCACCCATCCCTTGCTATCTTTCAGCATAGAAAATAGATAGAGGTTCCAACACCCTGCTAAGCTCCCAGACTTACCAGCCTCTAATCGCCCAATGTTGACCAAGGCAAAATCATATTCACTGCTCAGGGGAGTGTCCTAGAGGAAGCATATGAACAATGATGCAAACATCTGAAATAACCTTGCTTTCTCTTGATGGTCCCACTCCCCCTCTAGGGAGCAACTCCCCTAAAAATCCCCCCTACTTTTGAGATAGGGTCTCACGTTGGAATTAAGGCTGGCCTTGAATCATTGGCCTCAATCTTGGTAATCCTCCTGTCTCAGCTTCAGGAGCATCAGTACGCACCACCACACTTGGCTCAAATATAATCCCCTTTGACTATCTCTAAGGCATTCAAAAGATAGCCTTTTACCCTTTTGTCTGAATCTACCTAGACTTCCTTACCCATTTCATGCTGTCTTGTCTGTGGCCCTAACCATTTCACCTGACTCCGCTGCCATCCACAGGGCTGGAAGGTAACCCTAAAGTTGGTGCATATCAGGGTTCCAGGCAATTCAGGTTCCAATCCTTTCCTCAGTCCTGGGGACCATGCTAGTATCTGCTCCCCTAAGGAAAAAGAAGGAAAACCAGGTTATGACTGTCCAGAGTGCTGCCCATATTATATACACCTGTTTCTCTAAGAGGATATAGAGGGAAGATTAAAATCCTTCCTTGAACCCATCAGTTTAAGGAAAAAGAATGTGTTGTTTTTTTTTTTTTTAAATCTCTATAACCAGAATAGCACACAGAATAGGGCCTAACATATAGTAGACAGTTACTGAATAAGTGAGAAAAATGGCAACAGGGTCAAGAAAAGAGAGGGAACAGTAAGGTCCAAATTGTCAGCCAGGCCTGGATAGAGAAACTAGCAAGCCTCAGACAGGGAGGAGCATTTTGAACCAGGAAAGAGCTGCAGAGCTGTCTTTGGTGAAGGCAGGAACAAATGGGGTGGGATGAAATTTAGAGGGCTCTTAGGAGATCAGATCATTACCTGGAAGGCATCCAGAGGCCAGGCAGCTGCCAGGCTGACCACTCCTATTCTCCAGCATCCTGCTTCCCTAGACAGAATTTGGTCCAGAGGGCTGGAAAGGTGCAGCTTCAATCCCAGGTCTCCCCAACCCTGGATCTGGGATTCCTTAGAGGCCCACACTCAGATTCTGGGGAAACAGATCTGTATCTATGGGAGCTCCGGACTGAGGCTGGCAGAGGCTAAAGGGAGGGGCTGGTTAATGGGTAATGAGACCACGAACTTGAGACTAAAAAAGGCAGACCAAACTCCATCAGCAGACACACCTTCCTCTCCCTCCTCCTCTTCCTTCACTTCCTCCTCCTCCTCTATCTCTTCTCCCCCTCCCTCTCCACTGCATCCCCATGCACCCCCTCCACCAGCCCCCCAGATTTCTCCTCCTTACCCCCATCTCTGGCTCCTCCTTTGGGGAGGCAATATTGAAACTCTGGCCCCGGCCCCCCCACCACATTTCTCTGGCTCCATCCGAGGATGGAGCATTAAGGGTAGGAAACCTTAAGGATGCTCAGTCCCTCTGGGAAGGGGCTTAATCTTAGAGCTGAGAAAAAGGAGATTAAACAGAGGGGCAGGTGGGAGGACACAAGAAGAAGCACTTGAGGTGCCCAGAGCACAGTTTAGGGGTCTTGAAAGATGCGACTAGCCCAGCCTGAGTTGGCTCCTCGGAGGAAACTTCAGTCGACTCTGGAGAAGGCGGAGAGCTGCCCAGCCCCTTAAAGGAGAATACACACTGTCTTGGAAAAGTAGAAAGGAAATGGAGGAGCCTCAGAAAGATAAGGACAATGAGGAACAGAGACAAAACTGGACTCCCTGCTTTACCCCAATCTTACAGCCTACTCTTTCTGTATGAGTATTGAAGATGGAGAGGGGCAGTAATTTTTTTTTTTTTTTTTTTTTTTTTGAGATAGGATCTCACTGTGCAATGCAGGCTGGCCTTGAACTATGTAGGCCACGTTGGCATCAAACTCACCATGATGCTCCTACCTTAGCTCACTGAGTGCTGTGATTACAGGTGTGCACTACCAAACTCAGCAGTGATTACTGGTTATTAAACTGTAATAATCTGGACTACCTCTCCAGACTTTGTGATGACTTCCCTTCCATGGGAGGCATAGTGTCTATCTGCCCATGTCTGTGTGTTAAGGAAGTCAGAGTAGAAATGCAAAGTAGTTCTGCCATCTTAACTGCCTCTCTTGATAAACTTACCAAAAGTAGTTGAGAAGGGGAAATAAAATGGAATTGGACTCAAAATTTTGCTAGGGAGATTTAAGAAGTGAGAGTGAGTGATCAGCAAATCAGAAAGTTTGTGTGTATCTTTCTCCAAAGAGTACAAAACACACATCAAGCATGGAGTACAAAGGAGTGGGAGAGAGGTTGAGAGATTCCCAGGCCGTAGCTGCAACACAGGCTCATTGGTGAGCAGGCTGGGTGAGGCCAGGGAGCCTGAGAGAATCTCATCGTCGTTTAACCAGTCTTGCTGAACACCCTGGGGCGCTGCTTCCTGGTCCAGTCCCAGCCACAGGCAATAAAAGCCCCACATTATGTGACTCCACCCTCCTGCGACTCCACCCTCCCCTGGAGAAACTAGATCTTCAAATGAATGTTTCATGTCCCCACTCTTCACTTTCATGACCACAGTCCCCCTCCCTCACCCCTGCAACCCAAGAAGTAAAGATGGAGAGAAGGGGGAGGCATGTAATAAAGATGCAGGCCAGGCTGCTTGGGGGCAGCAATGCAAAAGCCTATATTTAGGAATAAAAGACAGGAAATAAAATACAAAATAAGATTTAATGAGCTGCTGTTTTATTGTGAGTCTGTATAAAGGCAACACTCCTTAAATAGGGGCCCATTTTCCAAAGTGACATTCAGTTTCCCTCCCCCAAGCACACACCCTTTTGGCCTCAGCTTTAAAACTCCGTCTTGGCAGGTACTGTGGAAATAATGATATTGTGAGCTAGGGAGTGGGTCTGGAACACAGATGTACACACCTGCTGGGAGGGACCCAGAATACTGATCGCTGAAGTCATAAAGTCTACTGAACACACCTCACACCCCTGCTTCAGCATCCTAGGGGAATAAGTAAGTCCCAAGATGTAAAATCATAACAGCATAGGAAAATGTATGCACCACAACCTTAAAATTGAAGTTTGGTATCCACTTTTCTCCTCACCACTTGAGAGCCTCATTCTATTCTGAGGTATGGAAGCAACAGCAAAATAGAAAAAAATGGGGTTGAGGGCTTAGCTGAGCAGTATCAGCGCCTGCCTGGCAAGTGTGTGGTTGAGTTTGATCCCTGGTACCAAAAAAAAAAAAAAAAAGAAAAGAAAAAGAAAAATTGTCAAAGAAATGAGAAATACACTGGATGACTTGGATCAGCACCTAGCCAGTAAATGCAGTGGAGACAGCTGCTAGGGACTAAGCAACAAGACTATTCTCTCCACTGCAACACAACCCAGTAGAGGTTTACTGGATGAAAGGAAGGGTGGAGAGGCAAGAGGCCCTACCAGGTTTTTCCATCTTCAGGATCCTGCTCCAGTTGCAGATTTGTAACCAGGCTTGAAGGCTACTGGGAGGGGGCCGTTGGGGAGCGAGGTGGAGCTGACTGACTCACAGACTTGAGTCATGGATCCAGTTATAAGCACAGAAAGAGGCCAAGGTCCTTCTCACCCCTACTCCTCAGCACCAGCCTCTGCTGCCCTTTCCTACTGCCCCTTACCCACTGGGCCAGCAAAGGAAGGCAGCATCGAGAAAGTCTGTGGGGACATATTTTATTTTAATCAGCTTAAATACAAGGGGCCAAACAGGCTGAGTCTTTTCAGAGTAAGAGCATGCCTGCATGACTCACTGAATCTGCAGCTGAAGGGCCTAGGGCAAAGAAGGAAATGAGAAAAAACGGAGGGGAGGAGATCCCGGGCTGGGAACTTGCATTTCTTATGTACAGCTGTAAGCTTGAGCCGTTGCTTTGGAGAAAGACAGGGTTCAAAGGTGTCTGAGTAATTCATGAGACATCATCTCTGAAACATTCCTTTATTAAGAAAAAAATGTGCTGGGAACCTTGGACATGTGGTTGAAAGGAGTAACATTAAAAGCTAGGTTCTCAGAAATCCTTGAGAACCAACTCCCTTCTTTCAGGCTTGTTATCATTTCCCAAAGATACAATACAAAGTTGTTGCTAATTTTTATTATTCTGTGAGCTTTACTTTGGGGAAAAGGGCATGTCCACTCCAATACCCTGCACAGTGCTGACTTTAATACCATCCCCTACTCCTTAAGAGACTTTTTGTTGCTGTTTTTTAAGACTGGATCTTGCTATGTGTATACTTCAAGCTGGCCTCAAATTCCTTGCAGTCCTGCTGCCTCAGCCTCCCTTGCTGGAATTACAGAGATGCACCATCATGCCCAGCTGAGACTTTTTAAAAAATTATTTAAAATCAGACTGAGGGGAGGCTTCTAGTTGACTCTAAAATCAGCAGAGGAGGATTTTGGGGGCTTACCCTGTAGTATATTTGCTCCCTTGGGGATGGGACAAAGAATATAACATAAAGGGGTAACATTGTTTCAGAAGAGGAATAACGCTGAAAATCTCGCCTTCCCATTAAAAACTTCAGTAGGTACCTCAGATACCCTAGATGAAAGGAACTAAGTGCACTTAAATTTTAGCCTGAGAGATGTCATACTTCACCAAGGCTACAGGGGGCCCCCTTCATTCACGTACCTCTCATGAACCAAGGAAGTTTGTTATTGTTGTTTATGGGTTTTGTTTTGGTTTTGGTTTTTTAAAGACAGTGCTTTGCTATGTAGTTCTAGCTGGCCTTGAACTCACTGTGTAGCTCAGACTGGCCTTGTACTTGGTGGCAAACCTCCTGCCTCAGGCTCCTGAGTGTTGGGATTACAGTTGAGCACCACCTCATCCACCAAAGTTTTACATGCTAAGCATACACCAGATAACCCTTTCCCTTGCCCCAACATGCTACTGCATGGGACTGCCTATCTCATTCCTTGTCTTTCCAAAATATCAAAGCAATCTTTGTCTATTTTGATTTGCCAGGCATTATTTCTTAACCCATCCTACGGGACCCCTCTTCAAAAGAAAACCCAAAACAAACTTCACTGTTTCCTATTTTAAAAATATCTGTTGTCTCTGAGTCCCTTGTCCCTAGAATGCAATTTCCCAAAGCCTTAATAGTTATCTTCTCAAGTAGAAAATAATTTATTAAATAAGGCTTAAAGCCCTACTTTATCACATTCACTCTTGGACTCCCTTCCCCTCTCCTGAATTTCCATTTTTTTTTTTTTTTCCTTTGAGGGCAAAGGGAATTGGGATTGTGTAGTTTATAAATAAAAAGAAACATGATACAAGGTTTCTACTTTTGCTCATTTGTCTTCTTTTTAAAAACAAAAGTTTTAGCTAAATCTAGTAACAGATCAAGTCCAAATGCAGCAGTCTAATGGACAATCACCTTCCCTGTTTTTTTCTCTGGGAAACCCCTAGGCTGTTCCCATTCCTCTTGACCAAGCCAGCACTCTCCTATGATGGTCCTGCAGGAGAAGCAAGCTGCACAGATCCTGGGTGCGGTCTGAGTGCATAGTAAGGGATGGAGGCAACAAGGTGGTCTCACCAGTGTTGTTCGAACCTCAGAAATGGGAAAGAGCAGGGTGAAGTGAAATAGGCATTCACCTAGGCTACAATATGAGGGATGCATAAAAATCTAAGAACCAAGATAAACACTATTTTGCTGCAATATGCATTACAAATAAAAATTAATGTGTAACTCATAATGAATGATGTATCAGAAATATAAAGATGGAAATCATCCGCATACTTGTTCAATCCAACCCTGCTTTTCACATCCTAATTCTGGTCCTATAAGATCCTTTTAAATTTGTTTGTTTTTTAGATAGGATCTCGAGATATAGTGCCAGCTGGCCTTGACCTATGTAGTCCAGGCTAGCCTCAAAGTCACAGTGACGCTCTTGCCCCAGCCTTCAGGGTGCTGGATACAAGTATAGTAGCGAGATCCTGTCTAAAATTTTGATACTGTATTCAACATGGATTTTTGGTGTTGTTTCTCACAATTCTTAATATTTTTCAAGTCTTGATTACCCTTTTAAATTTTACACCTAAGGGGAGTGCTTGTCTCAGATGCCAGCTCTGTCCAGAAAAACACCTATCCTTTCCTGTGGAGCCTGTTTCCTTAAAACCAACCTGCTGTCCAATAAAAGCCTAAGACAGCCATTTGAAATAATTAAACAACAGACCAGCAGATTTGCAAAACAAGTGACTTTCAAGTCTGTTAAGGAGAAAGAACTTTTCTAAACTGAGTAGTTTCAGTGAGAAGATCTTGGCTGGATTTATTACCAAGAAGGAAATGAAATGAAAACTTTCCTGACTGGGCAAACACACAAATAAGTTCCCCCAACACACACAAATATACTCACACCATGTGTACCCTATAGCAGATGTGGCCATGGGACAGTGATTAACACATGCTTCAACAAAGAAATCCAAGTATGAAAATAGCCTGATTAACCTTCTGGACACTTAAGTGCACTTATCCCCCTTCTTTATATGCCTTCTGGAGTTTATATAATTGCATAGTTTGTTTTTTGTGTTTTCTACCAGAAAAAAAATATAAAGAAAAATTGGCCCAGGATAGGTCTGGTTTAAAGCTCTTAGAAATGGTTCTGGCCACAGCATAAGCTGTCCAGACTTGTGCTTTGTGCAAAATGCAAAAGAGCTCCCCTTCCGTGTCCACATCCCCATCCCTACCCCCTGGAAAACAGGGCTGAGTCAGGGAAAGGGAGAAATCTAGACAGATAAGCTCAGAGAGAGTAATATGTGACCTGTGGTTATAGTTCACTAAAATATTTTCTTAACTACCTTTTTATAAATTGCCCCTAACCCCCAATCTGTTTCAATATCAATCCTAATATCAAAAATATCTTCTCTTACAAAGTATTTTATTATTACTTTAATAAACTAATCACAGATTAAGGTCAACTATGGCTTAACAAAAGAAGCCGGGATGTTAAATTCATTCTCCAAAAGCAGAGAGAAAAGGAGAAAGAATCACTTAAATAGGAAAAATAATAATAATAATCATCATCATCATCATCATCATCATCATCATCATTCTTAAAAATGGTTTGTTGGGGTATATTTTTTCTTTTCCTTAAAAAAATTAGTCAATGAAATAAGTTGCTTTCTACAGAAACACAGCAGCAGAAGATGGTAGTGCTTTACGTAGGTTTTTGGTTTGGTTTCAAACAGTGGCCAAAGTGTCTGTCTGTCCTTCCTCAACCTGCCCCAAAGTACTATCCCCTCCAACACATGTATGGTTATTGCCAAGTAGTTAAACACGCTGCACCCATTCACCTGGAAAAAATTCAAAACAGCTGTTCTTCTCATCACACTTTTTTCAGAGGAAATTTTTTAAAAATGACTTAAATGTTTTTTAAAAACCATAACCTTAATTTAGCTGAGCTCAGCCTTCAAAAAGGATGAGGAAAAGATGGGGGTCATCAACCATGTCCTCTCAAACTAGCATGGAAGACATGACTAGAAAAGGAAATAAAACTTAAGAGGAGAAGAATTCCCTTTTAAGTTCCTCTTTTTGCTATCTTCAAACCCTGGAATTTTAACTACTTCCTCTTCCTAACAAGTACTCAGGAGACCCAGTACTGCCTTGCCTTTTTACATCCCTTGGGGGAGAGCTGCCCAAACCTAATCTATACTTTATTAAAATCAACGGTAAATCTGTCCAATATCCGTTTCCCTCTATGCTCCCAGTTCCATCACCGTGTTTCTTCTGAACCTAAAAGAACTGTGGTCTACCTTAACTTTGACAGAACCCCCTTTACTTTTCCTCCCCAACATCTGCCTACCTCCCACCCACACTCCAAATCTTCCCCCACTATTTTCTCTTAGGTTCTGGGATGGGACACAAAGCCTAATGAAACAAATCACCGTCTCCTACTCTGTCGTGGCTCCTCAGTCCCGTCAAATCAAGCTTTGCAAAGCAGTGCAGCCCATGGGCACCAACCAGCCCTACCTGCTCCTACCAGCCGGGCAGCACTTCAGTGCACACAGACTTGAAAATTTCCAGCCAGGCTCTCACAGACATTTTTGCATTTGCACCATCAACATGAGGCTGGATCTTGAGGAGTCAATGAGTCAAACTTCACTTTGTTTAGCCCCTTGCCCTCCAAGGTCCCATCAGTCAGAATCTGTGCACCAGCAGCTCCCCACTGGGTTCCCGTTCCCTTCTCCTCAGTTCTTCCCTATAACAACAGGAGCAGAAGTTGTTTGTCTCAGGGTGTCCATAGAAGTTGCAGTTCGGTTGTTTGCACTTGGTCTGGGTTGGGGGAAGCCCCCAGGGACCTCCAGCCCATCCATCTGGCTCAGGGGGCTCCCTGTAGCCGTTGTTATAGGAATCAGCCACACGGGAGGGAGTGGGTAACAATGTGACTCTGTGAACTCCATCCTTGGAGTGAATACCTGGCTCCAGAGGTGGGATGCTGTCCTGCTGGGGATAAAGTCGCCCAGGAGGGCACTGTCTGGGGAAGGTAGCATATGGTGGTAGCCCCCCAACACATGGACCCCCTGCCAGCTGTCTCCTGGGTTCCTGGCAGTGAACTCCAACCCCAGAAGGCCGAGGGATAGTGAAGCCCCCTGGGTAACCAGTTGAGAAAGCCATTGCCTTGGACTCGCCTGGGGGTGCAGTCAGTTGCTCCTCCCCACTATCTGGCTCTGGTTTTTTGGCTGGAGGAGGCCCACTCCCTACCCCTCCGTTAATGATCTTCCTCTCTGCCTCCTTCTGCTTCTGCTCTGCCAGGAATCTCTCCTCAGCATCTGCAAGGTACCGCTGGATCATCTCCTCCTGATACTGCTGACGGTGACCCATCTTCAGGGTTCCAACAAAAATAAATTTTCCCTCCCCTTGCATTGTAATCCTCATAATGCTCAGACTTAGCATCACTTCCTGGCTGTACTTGCTCCCTCCATTACCAACGCACTCAGAGGTGGGCTTCTCACATACAGGCCCATCCCCTGCGGCCTCTTCCTTGCCAACCTTCCAGCTCTTCAGTGAGTTTTTCTTCTTCTTCTCCAGTGTCTCAGTGCCACTGTTCACCCCTGACCCAGTCCCCACCCCTCCAGGCTTAGAGTTTTTGCTGTGCATCAGGCCTCCCATGTTCTTCTTGAGCTTGCTGCCCAGGGTTTTGCCAAAGCTGCCCAGTTTGTTAGCCACAGAATCTGCTCTCTTCTTGTCCTTTTCCCGCTCTCGCTTGGACTTCTCTTTCCGCTTGTTGCCCTCATTGCTGGCAGAACTGCTGCCAATAGACTCTTTGTCAGATTCCCCAGACTCAGGAGTAGACCGGGGCTCATCGCCAGTTGAAGCTGTTGGAGACTCGGGCTGCGCCAGAGGAGCCTGGAAGAGACAAGAGCAGTATTGACAGTTGCCCTCCTGGCTGAGGCAATGAAAGTGCCCAAGAACCTCGGCTGAACCCACCCATCCGCTCAGAGGGCTCCCTGTTGCCACTGCTTCAGGGATTAATTAGGAAGTGACTGGTGAGTGCCCTTGAAATCCCATCCTGTGAGTGACTGCCTAGCTCCAGAGAAGGGCTGTTGTCATGACCAAGGAGGGTCACTCAGGAAGGTACTGTCCTTCTTCAGCTGCAGTCAGCCTCTCCTGGGCCCAGGTAAGATGCATAGAACATCTCATTTTTATCTCACTCACTGCAACTTGGCTCCCTTTGATAAGGAGACACTGAAGTCTGACTACTCATCAGGTCAATGAGCAACCACACAATACACAGTTTCCAGAGGAGGAGGGAGAATATTTTAGAGACATCAAAATGTTTAGTATATATTTGTCTATGTCAAATCCTATTTAAAATTAATTTCATAGAAATCGTAACTATAGGGGCTGGGGATTTAGCTCAGCGGCATAAGCACCTGCCTTGCAAGCAGGCGGTCGTGAGTTCAATCCCTGGTACCAATAAAAATTAAAAAAAAAAGAAATCGTGGGGCTGGGGATTTAGCTCAGCGGCATAAGCGCCTGCCTTGAAAGCAGGCAGTCGTGAGTTCGATCCCTGGTACCGATAAAAACGAAAAAGACAAAAAAAAAAAAAAAAAAAAAAAAAAAAGAAATCGTAACTATAACCAACCAAGCCTAACCATTTTGCATCCCCCAACTTTTATATATTCAGCACTATGGAGGTCAGAAATTTGCCTTTGCTCCCATATTCCTATGCCAGCTCAGAATCTACAGGACAAGGAACAGTTCAGACACTGTGCCTCTTTCTGGTGTCCTAAACAGAAGTCCATCCACAGTAAGCTTGAGAAAAAGTAGTAATAATTTCCACTTCACAGAAAACCACAAAGATGTATTTCAGGGATGTGGATATAACTCAGACACACAGCACTTGCCTGGCAGGTACAAAGTCCTGCATTTGATTCTGCACTGTGGCACTGGCAAGGCAGGGAAGGGACAGCATGAGATGACAGAGCCTGGTTGGAGAGATGTGGACCATAGAGGGGACTAACAGGTAAAAAGGCAGGAAAACAAGTTTTCAGAAATTACATCTTTGTTACTTCTTTTTTTGTTGTTTTTAATTTTTTTGTTTTTTTGGTACCAGGGATCGAACTCACAACCTAGCACATACCAGGCAAGCACCTGTACTAAATCCCTAGCCCCATCTTTGTTACTTCTAACTCTACCTCATAAGCTAAACTAAGGAGAGATTCGAAAGACAAGTACCACTGGGTCCCCCTGCTGTCCCTGTCCCTGAATGTGAGGACACATAAGGACAAGGGTAGGAGACACCTTTACCTGTGCATCAGAGGACAGTGGGATCCACTTTACATTCATGTAGCTATGCAGCAGATGCAATTTGACCTCCAAAGACAGAATTACACTGTGGGAAGGAGAAAAACAATTAAAAACTCACTGTGACCATATTTACAAAGCAAAGCAGTGTGACATAGTTGGGAAGAAGAATCGAGTCCTCCATGGCTTAGGATTCAACTGAGTTTGAATTATAGCTTCATGATCTTCCTAAAACTCAAATGGGGTCAAAAATGGTTTCTGATAACAGTATCTAACCTGTGGCATTGTTGTGAAGATTAAAATAAAAGTGTTTGGAAAGGGCTTAGCACAGTTTTGGAAAACAAAAAAATACTAAACAGTAGTCACTATTATTACTGCTTTAAATATTATTTAGAAGGAGGCTTTCAAAATTAGATGAGAACCTATTTCTAAAAAGCTATAAACTGGGTTTTAAAATCAAACCCAGTCAGGCAGCTCCCAACAATAGAGGCTCAAAAAAGGAAGCACCAGGTGCAAAGGAAGGGCAGGACTTTTACAACCCTATGTTCTCCATCAGGAAGTGACAGAGGAATTCAGGAGGGGAGGCTAAGCAGGCTACAGGGAAGCAGGATGGGCCATAGGGGAGTAGAAGGGGTATACTTTTCTTACTGCCTAAATTCCAGAAACAAAAACCCAGAGCAAACTATTTCAATCAACTATTTAAAACTCCTCTCACATTGGCTGACATAAAAACTGGTTTGATTCTCTTGATTTTCTGATGACTATTTTTTTGGCAATTCTGGGGTATATCAGTACAAGATCACTCTTCCTACTGTAAGAAATGAACAAGTTGAAATACCAGGACTCATAACTTTTTCACAGAGAGACAGAGCTGCTACAAGATGCCCAAACTGCTGCCCAACCTGGCTCATACCTTGCAACTTTTCAAACAAACTGGAATTAGAATGTGAGTGTGCTGCTCTTGAGCTAAGGAAAAATTCCCACGACATGCTCACAGGGAAGAGATCCCAGCTACAAAGCAGATGGAAAGGCTGAGACTGCCTCACCTGGCCAATCGGACATTGTCACTGTCATCTTTGCCCCACTCCCAGCCCTTTCCTGGGTCCACTGCAAAGTGCAAGGGCAGCAGCTTATGCTCTGAGTCTGTAAGTGGGATCACAGCTGAGAAGGAAAACGAAACACAGAGTCAAGCTGACTCCTTGAGAAAGGAGGGTATTCAAACACAGGTGACTTCACTAAAACCACACAGGCCTCTAACTGTAGTCACTTCTCAATCACTGCAGGTGAATTACACCCAACATTAAAAACAAATAGGCTGGTTTCCCCCTACCACCCAGCACATGACACAGGCCACTAAGCTCAATGACTTCCCAGCAGTCCATCTAACTTTCATCATGTTCTCCCCAGCTGTATGTATTCAGAGTATTCAAAGTCATTAGGAAAATGTAGCTAAGAATCTGTTGGAAGGTCCTATAACCTTCACACATATGCCCCCTACTCCAAAACAATCAATATAAGTTATGTGCTTCTCCAAGATCTTTTTTGGTGTGTGCAATTGAAAACCTTAATGAGCTGGGCATGGTGACATAATCCCAGCACTCGGAGGCTAAGGCAGGAAGATTACCATGAGGTGGAGGCCAGCCTGAACTACATAGCAAGACTCAAAAAGCAAACAAACAAAACAAAAAGAGGAAAAGAAAACTAAGTAAAACAATGTCAACATGTAATGTTGGGTTTGTACATTCCTTCATTCTTTCCCCCTACATTAGCTCTCATTTTCCTTCACTAAGTGAACATTATGCAGACCAAACAATACTAGAGACAGACACTGCATCCGGCACCTTGTTCCTTGGCACTTTCCTTCTGCTCCATGGACACAAGTGCAGAAAAGTGGGCCTGATCATAGGCGAGCACCAGAGGAGATCGGTGACATTGGCTGACAGGGACCTCCAAGGGCAGATAGATTCCCCCAAAGGGAATAGGAGCAAATGCTGCAGGAAACCAAGATCATCATCACTAAGACTATGTTCTTACCTAGAGAGCAATCCTTCCACCTCACTAGTCCCCCCTTTTCATTCCAATTTCTTTAATAATTCTTTCCTAAAAAGTCTTATCAATACCAGTGGCTTCACAATGAATTAAGAATTCTGCATTGTTCTAACTCATATTTTTCCCTTTTCCTCCAGGTGTCTATATTCCCTCTTTCCTGCCCTCCTCAGAGCTCAACCAGCCATAAAAGGGGATGCTGAGGTTCAGTGAGAACTGAATGACTCACCTTCCCCTCCAGAGTCCCTCAGCATGGTGTCCGCCACAACAACTATTGGCCTCTTGAGCACATGAGCAAGGACGAAGACGTGGAATTCTTCCAGGCTCTCATACACAGGCTCCTCCGAGCTCTCCACCCTAGAATTGCAGCAAAGAGAGGAAGGAGCAGGACAGAAGGGAGGAAAGAAAACATAACAAGAGAGCCCTAAAGACCAGCTTGGAAGAAAAGGAAAATAAAGAGTGCCCTGTCCAGGTTACCCAATTTACTAATGGCTATCACTGATGAGCCTGATTATTTTACACTGTCATGGTTGTTTCTACTTTCATTTCTCCAATGGGAAGATCTCAGAAGAATGTGAAGGCTCTGGGGTTAAAGTGGTGTTAGGAATCGAGGTAATCTCCATCTCTTAATACTCGTTCTGCTTAATACCCTCCCCCAGTTCTTTATCCAGCAGCCAAATACACAACTGCACTAGCGTCACTCTGTTTACCTTACCCACCCATCATATTCATCGTGCTGTGCAAAATACCCTTAAGGACCTTACAGACCTTCACCACTACCGAAGCTTAATCACAAACTGAAGAAATAGTTACTTTTCTTTTCTTCTTTCTTTTCTTTCTTTTTTCTTTTTTTGTGACAGGATCTCACTACATAGTTTAGGCTGGCCTTGAATTTACAACAATCCTTCTGCCTCAGCCTCCAGCATGCTAGGATTATACGTTTGCACCACCACATCTGGCTTTTACTTTTATCACTCAGTATCAATTAACATGGGTTCATCAATTCCATTTCCTATATGCTCTTCTTAAAATTTATTAGTACATTTTTGTAATATATAATGATTACATTCATGGTAGGAACAGTGGAGAAACCAGTACAGGTACATAACATACCTTAATACTTTTTAGGTCTTCATCCCCTCCCCTCCCGCTCCCTCTAGGAACCATCTTTTGGTTCTCATGCCATTTGCAAAAGATCCCATTTGTCTCAAACCTGTGCCCTCTGACTTATCTTCAGTCTGCCACCCTGTTCACATTCAGGGCCCTCTTGCATGGATTATTAGTACAAATGCCTCTAACCTCACTCTCCCTCCACCTCACTATCCACTCCAGTGTCTTGTGTTCAAATACACAGATTTGCTCATGTCACTCTCATTCTTAAAACTAGCTCCATCAAACTTCCAAACAATGTTACTCAATACTAGGTACTTGTTACAAACCTGAGATTTCTGAGCCTTACTCAGCTAGACTTTCTTGAAGCAGAGGTCCAGAAAGTTGCATTTTAAATAATTCTCCCAGATTATTCTTATGTATAATAAAGTTTGGAAAGGTAATAATTTTTAACTTTCCATTATGGATAATTTCAAAATTTTAAATGCACCAAATAGTACAGAGAATATTACAGGTTGAGGAGAGCTCGGTGGTAGAGTTGCTTAAACGTGATAGAAGAGAAACCTTAGCACAGCACATGAAATGCCAGGCCTCAGCTTCACCTTGTACTATGTACTCTAGATTGGCAACACTGGACCACCCAAGTGCCTAGAATGTGCTATGCTGTTATAGAGTTCTGTGCCCTTGCCATGGCTCTTCTCTTTTAACATTCTCTTACCACAGAGCTCTTTCTTTGTGGGGTCTCAGTCCAGTGAGGACTCTGGAAAAGACTATTCCTGCTCCCTGGCTTAGCTATACTCACCCTCCACCACTGGCTCCATTGGTGCCAAGATGCATTCGCGGTTCACTTGAGGCAAGCTTGATCAGTTCATTCCATTCCTTCTGCCATTCTTCCTCTGTGTACACCAGCCCTGACTGTGAAGACAGGCCAGGGAAATCAAACAATTACAGGCTAGTTCTAAGAGGCAACACCCACTCCAACTCACTGTCACCACCCGCTATTCTGTAGTGCTCCATCTTCTACTCTTTTTTATTAGTTCATCGCAACCTGGCTTCCGTTTCTGCCTTCCATGCTATTCCCTCAGATCCCACATATACCTCACCTTCCTGACTCTGGCCAAGGACAATAAACAAAATCGCCAAACTCAGGGTACTCTCTGGTTCTCATCTTTTTTAGCCTTCGTGTGGTGTATGCATTTTTGTCTTTATACATTCTGCTCCTCTCGTTTCCACAGCACTACCTTCTCTTATTTCTTTGAATTCTTGCCACACCCCCAAAACTGGGGGTGCACCATTAAGTTTAGCTTTGCTTCCCTCTGGGTGATCTCTCCAACTGCTATAATTTCATTCACCACCACCTATATGCTTATGATTTTAAAATCCTTCTCTAGCCCAGACTTCCCCGTAACTTCTGTGTTCACATATACAACAGCCTAATATTGCTACTTATACATGGCTACCTGAAACTCTATATATAGTTGAAATGAAACTAGTATCTTCTAACAATTCATTCTTCTACCTATATCCGTACCTTTATAAGGCACTACCCTCAAACAAGACACCAAGGAGTTATCGTTTTACCCACCCCACACCTAGATCCCTTCTTCTGTCAACTATCAAGCATAAACTACTGTAATGCACCTCAACTGGTACTACCTCCAGTTATGTACTCTCCTGACCCACTTCCTATAATGCACAAGAAAAAATTTTTTGTTTAGCTTGTTTACTAAAAAATTTTAATTGAACTCTGATGTTTTCTTCCTGCTAAAAAGCTCCTTTAAGACTCATCATTGTGCCGGGAGTAGTGGTGCACGCTTGTAATCCTAGCACTCAAGAGGCTAAAGCAAGAGGATCTCTATGAGTTCAATGCCAGGCAGGGCTACATAGTGAGTTCAAGATCAGCCTGAAGTACAGGGCAAGACCGTATCTCAAACTTACTTATTTATTTTTTGCTACTGGGGACTGAACTCATGACCTTGCACTTACCAGGCAGTTACTTATGCCGCTGATCCCTGGCCTACTTATCTCAAATTTAAAAAAATAAAAAACACCATTGCCTATTAGGTATAGTTCTAACTCCTTACAAAGCCCACTTTCTAATTTTATTTTATTTTATTTATACTGGGGATTAAACTCAGGACTTCGTGCTTGGCAGGCAGGCACTATGCCACTGAGCTGTGTCCCCAGCAAAGCCCACTTTCTGGCTGCTACTAGTCTAATATCTCTCTGAATCACCAGTAGTTCCTACAATGTACCGTTTTTTTTGTTTTTTTTTGTTTTTTTTTGTCTTTTTCCTTTTTATCAGTACTGGGGATCGAACTCAGGACTGCCTGCTTGCAAAGCAGGCACTTATGCCGCTAAGCTAAACTTCCAGCCCCTATGTACCGTTTTTTATAACTCTGACCTTCTGTCTAAGTGCCTTCTGCCTGGCACATCCTACTCATTATCTACCTGATAAGCAACTTACCTTTCAAGACAAAAGTCAACTATCATTCCTCTATGAAGCCTTTCCTACATCTCCCTTATTCCCTCCTTTGTGTCTCACCTCTCCAGCTGCTACTCAGGCTTTTATACTAGATGTCACAGCGATTACATTCTGTAGTATTTATGTCTTTACAGGTCCATCTCCTAGATTTTGCTCTTAGGAGCCAGGACCCAGTTTTAGCAATATACCCAATGCCTGTTTTGTAATCAGTAATCAATAAACACAGGCTAAGGGATATTCATGTGTGAGTTTTTTTTTAATGGTAATGAGGATCAGATCCAGAGGTGCTCTGTCGTTTCTTGACATACCCAGACCCTTTTATTTTTGATTTTTGAGACAGGGTTTAAGTTGCCCCTGTGGACTTGAACTTGCCAACCTCCTGCATTAGTCTCCCAAAGTGCTGGGCTATTAAGCATGTACCATCACACTTGGCTTAAAACTCTAACTTTTATTAAAGGAAAGTATGTAGTGGTAACAAACAATTTAAAAATATTACATTGGCTTTAGAACATATATGATGATTTGAAAGACATGTTGCTTTTTGTTTTATTTTGTTTTCTTTTTTTCTTTTATCTTTTTTTTTTTTATACTGGGGATCGAACTCATGACTGCACACTTGCAAGGCAAGCGCTTATGCCACTGAGCTAAATCCCTGGCTAAATCCTTTTTTTCTTTTTTTAAAGACAATTTCCTATCTTAGCCTACTAAGTGGTGGATTATACTGGGCTTTGAGAGACAAGTTTACCTTACTCATTTTTATTTGGCTTAAATTAGTACTAAAATTGAGTGTACACTGCTTAAGCACACACTGACAGAGTGGAAGGAATCTTACTGGAAACAGGAGGGGCATCAGGGACAGATTTAATAGGAATTAAAGAGTTACTGTGAACATATTTTACTTTAATAAAAATTTAAGAAGATATAGGTATTTTCAATTTGTAAAATGCTGACACAGACGTTAAAAATAGAAATACCACCACAGAGGTATATATGGAGGAGCTCTGGTCACTCCAATATATGTAACAGCAAGAGATCAGACTCATCTAATTCTAATTTACATTTTCATACATGCAACCACTAGGTGGCATACACTTCTAGCCTCATTTATTGGGCTTTTACCATCAATTTAAACACAAAACAAGAAGGCCTGGGATACCAAAAATAATTTAGTTTAGTGTTTCGTATTAGAAAACAAAAGAAATTCCCAAGTTCATCCTCCTCGTCCCACTCCTACTCCCAAGTAGAAGAAAGTCTAAACTAAGATGATATGGTGTCAGACATATTTCTAGTATAGAACCTTTAGTGCTGGGCAAAAGGAATAAAATGATCATTCCTTCACTAGCTGCTATTTTCTATGTATGGATACTCGCTGGAAGGAAGGGAGCTGATTCAGGATGGAACTTAGGTATTTCTGTCCCCTGGCTAAAAAAGTTTTGTTTTGTTTGTATCAGGGATCGAACTTATGACCTCACACTTGCCAGGTAGGCACTTATGCCACTGAGCTAAATCCGCAGCTCAATAATATTATAATCTAACCTAAACTTATTTATTTTTTACTTCAAGTTGTAGCAACAAATCTAAACTTATTTTTAAAATAGTAACTATAACAGATTTAATAACTGGAATTGGACATAGGTTTTCTGACTTGCTATCATTTCCACTCATTAACTAGCACACTCTCACTTGACCTATTTTTGTTCGTGGAGTGGTCAAATTTAAAATTAAAGTGTGGTCTCAATTCAACAGTTAAGGTAGGCATAGTAGTGTACATCTGTAATCCCAACCCTTGGGAGGCTGAGCAGGACTACCATGAGTTCGAGGTCAGCATAAGTTACATAGTGAGTTCAAGGCCAGCCTGAACTACACAGATTCTATCTCAATAAGTAAATAAATAAACAAATGAACAGTAAAGAAGGCAAACTACTGATTGAGTTCTAAATTCTAGGCTGGCTCCAGCTCAAGCAAAACAAGGTTTCTCCAAGGTCTGGTCCAGCTTTTGATGTTAATAAAGAATGTCATGTATTAGCATTTTCTTTTTGTCTTTTTCTTTTTTTATTGGTACCAGGGATCGAACTCATGACCACACACTTGCAAGGCAGGCAGGCACTTATGCCGCTGAGCTAAATTCCCAGCCCCATGTATTAGTATTTATTAATACGAAATCTAATGTAAAAAAATTTATTAATATGGCCTATCCCTGTTAATATATTTGTGGGACAAATTATCTAATCAAAGACAGGATATGATCTAAGTAACAATCTTCTTTTAATAATTGGAATAGCGCCGTGGCACACAAAGCATTCCTGCTCTTGCTCTACCTCTTTGTTCTGCTGTGTTTGCTGCCACCTCCAGCGTCTTTTCAGTGCTTCTTTCTCCACTCCCTTTTCCATCAGTGCATACAAAGATTTTCTCAGTGCCAAGTCCCGATCATGGAAGCCCCACATTCCTGTGGCAAGAGAGCATGATATAAAATACCTTATATTGATTCAACCCACTTGTTAATTTTGGGGGTAGTTCTATTTGCTTTCACAGTGGTGGTGATCAAACCTAGGATCTTGCACAAGCTAGGCAAGTGGTCCATCACTGAGCTGCACCCCTAGTCCCTCATTTATTATGACACATAAGCCCTAGCAAGAAAAAAAAAAAAAAAATCAGGCTGAGCCCAGATTCAAAGAAATTCTGGCTATGATTTAAGGAAGAAGTACTTAATTAAGAAAGAATGTTTCTACTCTGGAAGAACAGAGGCTGAGAACTTGAAAGTGGGGGATTAACAAATCCCACCAACCCCTGACAGGAATCCTTCACTACTGCAGCAAGTCTAACAAATTAAAATACACAGTAGCAGCAGGTCAGACTGGTCTGATAAAGAACAATCAGCATTAGCACTTGAGGGATATGATGGAAAACAGGGATCTTTTTTAAAGCTAAGGGCAAATAATATACTGAGTTGCACATAGGTTTAGTAATTTATGTGTCACAAAACACTGCTAGAAATTCCTTTTTTACACACCCTAAAAGGATCACCACTAGAATCACGCATACACACACACACACACACACACACACACAGCTATATATCATCTGCTTACTGGGGCTCTTTACTCCTATGGTCAGCTCACAGAGCAGGGCCTAAACTAAACCCTGTGCCCTCCTCACTACCTGACTGAAAGGGCAGGGCTCTCTCCCACCTCTCCTGTGGCAACAAACACACACATGCACACACACACGCACGTGAACACTGCCATGCAATCTTGCTGTGAACCACCACTTCCACCTAGGATGGTTCATACCATCACTTCTGCAGAGAACCAGGTTGGCTGGATCAAGTCCTACACGTGAGATTCGATTCAATTTCTTCCTTCCTACAGGAGAACACAGGGTCATTTTCAAGACTTACCAAGAGAAGCTGCATGCAGGAGACAGTTCCCATCTCCAGTAGTTGCCAAAGGAAGAAGTCTCTGACAGGTGGGGTCCACACTAACCCACCAATTCAAACGCCCTGAAGAAACAGAGTAGAGAAAAAGAAGACACGATTAGCCTCTTCCAAAGACTACCCAGAATAAAACTCTGGCTCTCTCACTCTTTATACCCTTTTCACTTACACAGTATTTAATTAGAACTTGGTAAGCACAACTGGGTAGATAAATGGGTCTTCAGCAAAAACAAGCCAGGCATAGTATTGCATGCATATAATTTCAGAATCTGGCAGGCTAAGATATGAGCATAGCAAGTATGAGCCCAGATTGGGCAATTCAGGGAGATCCTGACTCAAAAAGGGGAGAACGGTAGATATAGCTCAGTACAAAGATTTATGGGTATCTTTTCACTAGCCCAGATAACTCGCTAACTTTAAAAATAATAACTAGATGTAAATAATTAATATAGATGGATATGAAATGAAAAAGGTCCCTTCTCATGCCCTCATCTCCCAACCTCAATTTTTTTTCCCATGAGAGTTTTGAAATACCTCAACTTTTTCAGGAGCCCCAACTCTCACCCTATCATATAGCTAATTTTAACAGTAAGTTAAAAATGCTTTTAATAATAATTAAATGTACTTGTGCGGGTCAATGAACTAAGAGAAAACACTCTATGAATGGACAGGACTTTCAGTGCATCAATGACAGATTGGTCCTCTCTACTGGAAGAGGAGCTTCTGAGACAGTTATAGTTTTGTGTTTGTTTTTTTTTAATCAATTGAATTTTAGGTATTTATTTCCAAGCCTTTTACATGTATACTGGTTTATGTTCCATCAAAAAGAAAATTTCCCAAGTGAAGTATTTAACTGGCATCCTTTATGTAACTTCAAAAAGTACCCACCTCAGTCCACGCTTATCTCACTAACTTCTGTATGTGACTGCACACTTAGACCAGATGCTACTACTAACCAAAGCTGCTCAAGGTAGACAGTAGAGAACGGAACGCTAGGAAGAAACACTCACTGACCTGCCTGTTCCAAGGCAACCAGCATGGACTGCTCAATGAGGTCTCTCTCTATGAAGCTGCGGAAGTCTTCACTGTACACAGTGAGATCTGGAAGCTGGAAGGCACAGATGGGCATTTCCAGGGGGTGCTCACTGCTCCCCCCACCCCCACCACTGGAAGAGACCTGGGACCGGGCCAGGGAGACAATGCTGGAGCTGGCGTGGGAGATGCCCCTAGACAGGCGTTTTTCTGCAATGAGAAATGGAGTCACTTAGAACATACACAGCCCACACAGAGAACTCTCCACAGATATGGTGAGGGCCATGTCCTGACAAGTTTCCCACCAGAGAAAAACTGCACCAAATAAGTTACTCAAGTTCACGCCAGTTTTTCTTTTTTCTTTTTTGTCTTTTTCCTTTTTATCGGTACCAGGGATCGAACTCATGACTGCCTGCTGAGCTAAATCCCCAGCCCCTCTTTTTCATTTTTCGAGACAGGGTCTCACTATGTAGCCCAGGCTGGCCTCAAACTTGCAATGATCCTCCTCAGCCTCCCAAGGGATTATAGGAATTATATGCGTGTGACACCACATCCAGCAAAAGTGGCTTTTTTTGGTCTTGTCTTTTTTTTTTTTTTTTAACTTTTTTTTTCCTTCTTTTTTTATCGGTACTGGGGATCAAACTCACGACCATGTGCTTGCAAGGTAGGCACTTATGCCGCTGAACTAAATCCCCAGCCCCTGGTCTTGTCTTTTTGAGACAGTGTTTCATTATGCAGCCCAGGCTAGCTCTGAACTTGCAAAAATTCTTCTGCTTCAGCCTCCCAAGTGCTGGAATTACAAAAGTGGCATTCTTTTAGGCACTTAAATTAGCATCAAATATACATTCCTCTTTCTACCCTTGTTTAGAATTTACCTGGCCTTTCTCTTCTTATGACTGTTTTCTTATGTTTGTATTTCCTACTATAAGAGGAACTTACTCAGACGGCAACTTGGTTACTATTTGATGGGAGAAAGAAAAAAAATGAGGGAATGGATTTCATTCTGATAGATTTAGTCAAATCTCCCTGATTAAAAAAATACTGAATCTTGGACAATGTAGAAAAAATTTCTCTCATAGAAAAGAAAGTTACTGTTACAATGTTCTCTTTTATCTCAATCTCCCCCTTTTAAAATTAATTTATTTTCTTATTTTTTTTAATTAAGGGAAAACTAAATTAAAAAATAGCAGGATAGGGGCTGGGGATTTAGCTCAGCGGCATAAGCGCCTGCCTTTGCAAGCAGGCAGTCATGAGTTCGATTCCTGGTACTGATAAAAAGGAAAAAGACAAAAAAAAAAAAAATAGCAGGATATATTATAGTAACTTTTTTGTTTTCCTATTAACCTGATTTGAACCCCAGTATTGCTCTCCCCATCTTGTTCTGTTTGATTTTACTATATTCTGTTTTGTTTGATAGTATCAAGTTTGAGAGTATAGGCAACCACTTTGAAGGCAGTAAGATTTACTATGATGCCCATTATGATTTGACTATTATCTTCTTTTGAAGTCCTATAAGGTCTCCAGTGTAGGATTTATTGGTCTTGTTTTGTACTGTTTTGGTCAATTCTATTATACCTGATGATATAGGCAACTCTTTTTCAAATAGCAAGAGGCACAATGGTAACCATTTTTGATCACTTGGTATTCTATTTTTGCATCATGTACTATGCCCATCCTTCTGTTCTGACTCTGTTATGTTTAGTCACATTTGGTATTATTCTCTTCAAAAAAAAGTAGTAAGAACTGTGGGAGTAATAAAACCCAAAAAGTAATTGTTATTGTAAAAAAGAGAGAAAAAGAAAGTGGTCTAAAGGATATAACTGCATGTATACTTAAGTGTGTAGGATAGAAAACCATATTATTGAGCTTTTGTTGGATCATTGAACAGAACTGTCTGCAATCCCACTGTATGAATGTCTACTTTATATGCCGTAATTTTGTAATTTGGACACGTTTCTAAGATAACAGTATGTAACCTATTAACTAGTGATTTCTTACTGTATATTTTTTTTCCTGAAATTCTATTACTTGTACCCTTTTACTGCTTTGTTTTTTTATTTCTTTTTTCTCTTTAAATTAAAAAAAAAAAAAGAAAAGAAAGTTAATAGGAAATCTTACATAGGAACAGTTTTCCCACATCAATGACATCTATTTATATTATTTATAACACCTTTTTGTGACACCCATATTTATTAGAAACTTATAGGGACAGTTAACTCTTAACATGCTTTAAGCTATAAGGCAGACAGTTCCCCAATAATTTCATTTATTTTGAATACATGACACTTGCAATTCCTCAGCTGATTTTCCATTGTAAGCATAATTTGCTTTGGTAATATAATTCATTCACATGGCTTGAGTTATATAACAATGCTATTAAGGGGACGGTTGGCCAGATGTTCTCAATCCAGCATTTGCCAGAGATGATATATAAAATAAATCAAGGCTGTCTAAAGTTATTCTGGGGCCAAGGATATAGCTCACTGCCACATTGCTTGCCTGGCAAGCATGAGGGTCATTAGTCCAATTCCCAGTATCAAAAAAATAAAATTAAATAAAAATTTTTAAAAAGTTGCTCTGTAGTGACATTACTCTAAAATATATTTAGGCATCTCAAAAGAATCATGATCCATGATTAAAAATAAAAATGCTATCAAAAGGTATAAAAGATTTTACAAAGAGTTTTCCTCTTCAACTCTAAATTCCTGATCCTTTCCCTAATGTCAACAATTATATTTTTATCTTCTTTGCTCTATTTTACAGGAAAACACTCAGGATGCAGAGGTGGTGACAGATGGTAAGAGATTCCAGTCTCTGTTCAGATCAAAGCACCTTGATCTGTGCTCAGCTGGAGAAAGGAGGAAGAATCACTGACTTCCTAGACCTGCTAGCAGCCTTTCCTTCTCTCCTACACAGGACACACAGACAGCCCTAACTGCTAGCCCTGTACCTTGGATGACGTCATCTTGCCGCTGGAGGGTAGGTCGGGAAGGACGAGCACACTCTCTATCAGAACACCCCTTTTCAGGGGTCTTGGAGCTACTACTTCCTTCACTAAAGGGTGGTGGCAGGTGCCCAGCATGGACTTGACGTATCTGTTCAAAATCATTGAGGGCAGCACTCACATCCCAATTTTTTCCTGTCAGGAGACAAAGCAAAAAGTAAATTATCCATTCAGGTATAAGGAAATTGAGGCAAGAAACAAACACCACTCTAAGCATACTAGCAAAACTAGTAAGCAGGAGCTATGTATATAGCCCAGTAATACAGCCCCTGCCTAGCACATACAAAGCCCTGAATTTGATTCCCAACAACATAAAACAAACAAAAGACATCAGTAGGGAAATATTAATATATATTTCAATCCTTCTTTAAGTTTTCTTCCTAACACTTCTATCTGAAATATCAATTTGTTATTTATTGTCTATTTTCTAGTGATGTCCAGGAGGGTAGAAATTTTGTGTCTCAAAATAAGGACTTTGAGTCGGGCTAGGGATTTTGCTCAGTGGCATAAGCACCTGCCTTGCAAGCAGGCAGTCCTGAGTTCGATCCCTGGTACCGATTAAAAAAAAAGAGGACTTTTAGAAATCTAGTAAACTAAAAATAAAGTCTCCTTTTACAAATAAAGGAAATAAGCCTGAGAGAAAGAAAGGAACTTGCAAAAGCTGGGCATGGTGGTACACGCCTATAATCCCAGCATTCAGGAGGTTGAGGCAGGAGGATCATTGCAAATTCAAGATCAGCTTGGGTTACAAAGTGAGCTCAAAGCCAGCCTGAACTGCATAGTGAGATCCTGTCTCAAAGACAAAAAAAAAAAAAAAAAAAAAAGAGGATTTGTTCAAATTCACAGCTGGTTTACACCAGAGCTCAGCAGGTCTCCCAATATTGAGGTCCAAAGAGGTGTTTAGCCTAGGTACATTCTAGGGTATCCTAACCAACCTGAAATTGTATATACAACTATGAGGAGCTCCATTTTTCTAGAGAAACAGTTGATAGATGTCATCACTTTATCAAAGAAAACCATGTTGCCTCCAAATTTAAACATCACTTACTCTACTGAAGAAAGAATGCCAACTTGCAGAACTGCCATACTGGATTTTTCTGTACTTTCTCCCATCAAATTATAAAATGCTATGAGATTTTTCCAAAGTACAGTTCTGATCATTTATTTTGTTCCATGATCAAATCTTTAGGTTACAGCTTGTCATGGCCTACAGAAGAATAAAGTGATGCTCTTCAGCCTGATAATCAAGGCTTTCTACGATCTGACCTATTTTTCTAGCCTTTTCTCAAGGCTTCCATTTCTTTATCTATGAAAATACAGATGATAAGATTGTACCTACCTCACAGGATTGTTATGAAGATTAAATGAGTGGAACATATACAGAGCTGGGCATGGTGCTGCAGGCCTGTAATACTGGCAACTTGGGAGGCTGAGGCAGGAAGATCTCTGTGAGTTCAAGGCTAGCCTGGGCTACATAGTGAGTTCAAGGCCAGACTGAACTACACAGTGAGATCCTGTCTCCAAAAAAAAAAAAAAAAAAAAAAAAAAAAAAAAAAAAGCCAGGCATAGTGGCACATGCCTGTAATTCCAGCACTTGGGAGGCTGAGACAGGAGGTTTGTTTCTAGTTTGAGACCAGCCTGGACTACAAAGTGAGCTTGAGAACAGCCTGAACTGCATAGCAAGACCTGTCTCAAAAAGAACAAAAAAAAACAAACCCCAACAACAACAACAACAAAGGGTATAGAACCATGCTTGGTACACAGGAAGCTGGATATGTGTTTACTTTTGTCATTGCTGTGAATTCTCCTGCTAATCATTCATGCTTTACGATTTTACTTCTATACCATTACATTTACCTCTTGTTCAACTCCCTTTGCTCAGTCTGTTCCAGTCACTATAGTCCTCAGTTTTACAACATCCTAAGTCGGCTTCACCCTGGAAACCTGTCCAGTGACTTTTCCCACCACCTATAGGGTTCTTTCACCTGTATTTCCATACAACTTTTCATCCACTTCAGGTATATGCTCAAATGTCACATTTAGTTAAGTCCTACCCTGATTGCCTTATTGAAAACCTTAAAGCACCATCATTCTTGTGTTTTCCACAGCACTCAAAACTTATTTATAGTCTATGTAGTTACCATGTTTTTTGATTGTCTCTCCTACTAAAACATGATGGTAAAGGGTTTTGTTTGCTTTGTTTTGCTCAAACAACTAGAAAAGATTTGGTATTCAATAAATATTGAGTAAATGGAGGACTTTTTTCCTGAACCAATCAATGCATACAAAGCTCCTTAAAATCAGGACCTTCTAACATTCAGTATATACAAATTTGAATGTCCAGCATCTTCCCTCACAAAACTTGCTTCCTCGCATCTATGTTCCCCAAATCAGTAGTGGGACCGCAAGCCCTCCAGGCCCAGAGATTTCAATCACTTTCAGCTCTTCACTATTCTTCCTTGCTCACACCCACGCAACCCTTGAGGTTGTTTGTATTCCTGGAATAGCTCTCAACTGTATTCTTTTTGGTACCAGAAATTGAACTCAGGACCTCAAAGTGGCTCCAGCAGGCACTGTGCCGCTGAGCTATATCCTCAGCTCTTCAACTCTACTCTTTCAAGTTCATTTTATTGTCACTATCCAATTCAAGTTCTCATACTTTCACCTAGTCTTTGGTCTTCTGAAAGGGAAATTCTCTCACCAATCTCTTTGCTTTCAATCTCTCTCACTCTCTCACTTGTTTTTTACATTATAAGAAGAGTTAACTTTTAAAACAAGAGATAAAGAGAAAATGTAAACTGGGTCCTTGGACTCCTCTTTTAAACTGCATCCTAACTCCATCCACTTCTCTCTCCACAGCTATCACTGTGCTCCAAGTCCCCATCATCTCTCACTTGAACTATGGCATTATGTTAACTGGTCACTGGCCACATTCCAATACATTAAGTACCTGACAACCAGTACACTATTAAAAAATAGAGTCTGATTAAAATCCTTCAGAAGCTAAGGAACTGGGAATACAATGTAAACTCCTAACCACAGTCCAGAAAGGCTCCCCATAATCTACTTCCCACCTATACAACCAACTGCCCATTGCACATGCAGCACTGTCTTAATGCTATTAGGTTTCTCCAATGTGCCAGACTTTCTCTTGCCCTTATGTAAGACATCTTTTTGACAAAAATCTTCTCCTTTTCATCCTCTTCTCTTGTTACTCCTACCAATCCTTAGGGTTCAGCACTGAACTTCCCCGCTAAAGGCCTCAAAGGCACTCTAGATCTAAAGCGGGTTTCTCTCTTCACTCTCAACTTCTCTTCATAACACAACTGTTTGTATGGCACCCTCAACTTTTCCTTGTAATATCTGAGTAGTTGTGCTTGCCCACATACAAACAATAATTTGTAATGTAATTATTAAGAGGCATGCTCTAAAACCAAATTGCCTAGATTCATATACTATTGAAGTTCACTCAATCTTAGTTTTAAAGTTTTAACAGAGTGGCTGAAAGAAAAAATACATCTCAAGTACCTTGTACACATTGGGCACTTAAAAGTATTTGACACATGTAAGTTACAAGAGGAATACAAAATGATTAAAGATTATTATACTTTAAAAAAGGAGCCATTTAAGCTCAATTTCAAAAATGAGAATAATGAAGGAAAGAATACCACACAGTTAGGAAACATGAACAGGGAAAGTGATAAATCAAGCATGGCTAGGACATAGGAAATGTGGAAGGGAAAGTACTAGGAACTGAAAACCCAAGTTAAAGGAAAAATTGTACTGAATTAATAAACTGGAATTTAAATCCTGATCTTTTGTTTCTAAACTCTCCTACAAGTACCTAAGCAAAAGTCATACTGTCACAGCTCTCTAAAGGCTGACAATCCAAAAAATTACCAATGAATACTAAGAACTTGCCCTTTCCTGAAGGCTTCCTTGACTGTGTCATTACAAACTTTCTTCATCAAAAAGCACCTGATGGGCCAGGGCTATAGCTCAGCAGCACAGAGTCTGTCTGTTAAGCATGAGGTCATGAACTCAGTTCCCAGTACCAAAAAGAAAAAACAAAAAAAAAAAAAGCATCTGTTTTGCTGGGCATAGTGGAGCACATCTATAATCCCAGTGAGGCTGAGGCAGGAGGATCACTGCAAGTTTGAGGCCAGCCTGGGCTACACAGTGAATTCGAGGCCAGCCTGAACTGCATAATCAGATCCTGTCTCAAAAAGAGAAAAAAAATTTATTAGTGCATGTTTGCAATACATAATAATTACATTCACTGAGAGAAACTGGTACATGTATAGAACACATCATTTCGTTTTTTCCTCTTCTTTCCTTGCATCACCCCCTTTTTTTGTTTTGCCAGCCTCAAATTCATCTATTTATAAGTCCTTATAAAGTTAATTATCATACATACAGATTAATGACTAGATTAACAGGCCAAAAACAATACTGTACACTAAATCAAGGTACACTTTCAGATACACTGTCCATGCTGGATTACTGTTAACTTTTTTCTCTTTATTTTGCATTTTATATACTGAGAAACCACACAATATTTAATCTTGTATGTCTGATTTACCTCACTTGTGTCTGATTTACTTTACTTCTACTTCTGGGTACAAATGACTCAAGTTTACCCTTTATGGCAGAGTAGTACTCCGTATGTACAAGTAACACATTTTCTTTATCCATTCTTAGGTTGATAGATATAAAAGCTGTTTCCAAGATTTAGCTATTATGAATTCTGCTGCTATAAACATATATACATACATCCCTATAGCATGATACCTTTAACTCTTTTGGAAAGACACCTAGCAAGGAAATAGCTGGGTCAAATGGAATTTTCTATTTTTAGTTTTTTGAGGAATCTCCACAATATCTGCTATAGTGATTTCAGCAGTTTATACTCTACCAACAATGAAGAAGGGCTCCTTTTCCCCCAAAGCCTGGCCACCATTTTGTTATTGGTCGATTTCTTTCTTCTCTTTTTGAGACAGGGTCTCACTGTTTAGTTCAGGCCGGCCTTGGGCTCACTTTGTGGCCCAAGGTTTTTTTTGTTTTTTGTTTTTTTTTGTCTTTTTCCTTGCTTGCAAGACAGGCGCTTATGCCACTGAGCTAAATCCCCAGCCCCTGGCCCAAGGTTTTGAACTTGCAACGTTCCTCCTACCTCAGCCTCCCAAGTGCTGAGATTACAGGAGTTCATGATTTCTTGATGACAGCCACTCTTTCTAGAGTAAGACAGACTCTCAGTGTTGTTTTAATTTGCATTTCTCTAATGGTCAAAAATGCTGAATATTTTTTCATGTGTTACTGGACATTTGTACATCTTTGTCTAATTGCCTATTTATTTCAGATGGCCATTTTTGATACGGTCTTTAAATTTGGGGGAGGTCTAATTTTTTCTGAGTTCTTTATCTATTCTTGATATTAGTCCTTTGTCTAAGGAATAGCTGGCAAAAATTTTTTCCCGTTTCATGAGTTGGTGTTTTCCTTACTCTGTTGGTAGTTTTCTTGGCTGTTTTGAAGCTTTTTAATTCAATGTGACCCCTTTTATTGTTTCTTGGTATTATTACTTATGCAACTGAGATTCTTTTCAGGAAGTCTTTACTTTCACTCACATCTTAAAATGTTATCTTCCAACAGATTGTTTCTGTTCTAATGTTTAGATCTTTTACTCATTTTGATTTTAGTTTAGTACATGGTAAGACATGGGTTCAATCTTTGGCATATGGAAAGCCAGTTTTCCTACCACCACTTGTTAAATCTTTTCGTCCAGCAAAAAGATTTGGCCCTCTTGTCAAAGATAAAGTAAAAGTGTGCATGGAATTGTTTCTGATCCTCCATTCTGTTGCACTGATCCACAAGTTTGTGTGTTCTTTGTTTCGTTTCTTTTTATTTTTTGCCAATACCATGCTGTTTTTAATCACTACAGCTCTGCAGTGTAACTTGGAGTATGGGATATGATGCCCCTTGCCTTGTCCTTGTTGCTCAGAATTGCTTTTCCCATCTTAGGTCTCTTCTAGTTTCATATGAATTTTAGGACTACTTTCTCTAGTAAGGAATGTTACTACAGGAAATAAGTGTTATTAGTATTTTTATTGGAATTGCATTAATCCTGAAAAGAATGTCTATTATGACTAAATATGATTCCAATCCCTCACAGCCTTAAAATGTAGAATATTCAAATTTTTAAGTATATGTATGTATAAGTAAGCAAAAGCAGAAAGATATAAAAAAGCAGCCTTGGAAATGTAGAATTTTGCTTTTAGTAAACTAATACAAATTTTCACTTATATTACCTGTATATAAACTGATGGCAGAATTACATTTACATTATATTACAAGTAACAACTGGTTTGGGTTCTTTTGTTTTGTATTACTATTTTTTTTTTAAATGGTACTGGGGATTGAACTCACGACCGCCTGCTTGCAAGGCAAGTGCTTATGCTGCTGAGCTAAATCCCCAGCCCCTGTATTACTATTTTTTGAGACAGGTTCTTGCTATATAGTCCAGGCTGGCTTGGAACTTATTATGGCACTCAAGCTGGTCTCAAATCTACAGTAATCATCCTACCTCTGTTTCTCAAGTGCTGGGATTACAGGCATAAGCCTGGCTCAAGTAACTTAAATGGAAAGCCTACCATATGTAAAGTATCTTCTAGACCACCTTGAATGTCCCAAATCATCCTAACAACAAATATTAAGCATTTCACTTTTTCTTTTCTCACCCCTATCCCCTGATCCCTCACCTTCCAGGAGATCTCGGGCTAGCCCAGGCTCTGCTCCTGTGGAACGGACAAAATCCGACAGGACAGCATCCATGTCCAGGGTCATGTGATCATGAAGTACTTTCAGGTTGTTGGATGTGGAGGACACAGATCAAAATTCAGGTCTCCACCTGAGAAGGAAACAAATACACACGGCTCAAATTATACCGGAACAGGATGATTACAGCCCAATTTCAGCAGCTTCTTAACCACCTGGGAAAAATAACCATCTTAGCACATTCATTCCTTGACTTAAATCAATTTAAAGCTTCTAATGAAGCCAGGTGTGGCGGTGCTCACTTGTAATCCTAGCACTGGGGAGGCTGAGCCTTGAGAATTGTCATGAAATCAAGGCCAGCCTGGATGGACTACACAATGAGTTCAAGGCCAGGCTTGAGATCCTGTCTCAAAAAAAAAAAAAAGAAAAAAGAAAAGTAAAGTAATATTTAACTTTCTAATTCTTTGTTAACATTAATGATTTACCCACACCACTTTGCACAATGGTTTTCATCTACTTTTCTGGAGTATATGTTTCTTCCACGCATTTGCTATCTAAACTGAAAACAGGAAGCAGCAGACTATTGTCCTAAAGAACTCCTATCTTCAGTGTTTTCTACCTTCACACTTTATTTATGTCCTTCCTGGCACTTGATATACTCTGACTTTTAAAAATCATATGGTGTTGGGCTGGGGATTTAGCTCAGCGGCATAAGCGCCTGCCTTGCAAGCAGGCAGTTGTGAGTTTGATCCCTGGTATCAATAAAAAAGAAAAAGACAAAAAAAAATTATATGGTGTCTAGTCATTCATGTCTTTTTCCAGTTTCTTGAAAGTAGGGAACACTTGTGTCTTGTTCACTAATATATCCCAGCATATATTATCTGGCATTTGACACACAAGCTCTCAGTAAATATTTACTGAATGAATGAATGCATATGCTGGAAAATTTTAGGGTTGAATAGTTTCTTTCTTTCCTTTTCCCCTTTTTATTGGTGTTTTGAGACAGGTTCTTCTATGTAGCCCAGGCTAGCCTCAAACTGAACATCCTCCTGCCTCAACCTCCTGAGGTATGTGCCACCATGCCTCATCTGACTATTATTCTGATGCTAGCAAAGGATACAGAATGAATAGTGACTGCTAAATCTACTCAAAACAGGGGCTGAGAATTTAATCCAATGGCATGGCATTTTCCTGCTTGGAAAGTGCAAAGTCCTTAGTCTGATCCCTGGTATCCAACTCCCCCAAAAGTAAATAAATCTACTCAAAACAATATATCCTGCATATCAGAGTACAGACCCCCAAAAGTTTCTAAAAGTCAATCTTTGTTCACTACCTTTGTGAAGCCACGAAACACTGCCAAGCATGACTTTTTCCAACTGGTTGCTAAATAAATTCACCTGAAAAAGACCTCTTATAGACGGTTACAGCAGAAACTATGTGCCTAAACTGACAGCCCAGCACCAATCCAACACGTTTCTGAGGTTAACAATGCCAGCTGAGGAAGAGTAACAGAGCAAAGAAGAATCCCTGATCAGATTCTGTCAGATTTACAGCCCTCTACAGAAACTGACTCATTCACAGTCTCCAGGCATGCACTGCCCTACAATACCCACAAGCCCTCATATTGAAGGTGACTCAAATGACTGTTCAAAAGCATCATAAGCTCCTTTGCGATGCCCCACTCAGTCTTCTTCTTCCCAAAACAGCCCTCCTGGCCCTTGTTTCAAGTGAGGCAAGGAGAGCCACTGGGCAAAGGAATGTCCAAATCCCCAACTTCCCTAAAGCCTTGTCCTGAATGTAATCAAAAGGGCCACTGGAAGATGGCCTGCCCATTCCTGAAAAAGGAAAAAGGCACCACTTCCAAAAAACCCCCCTCAGAGTTTTAATCCAGACCTACTGGACCTGTTGGGCCAAGCGGGAGACCAGGATGCCGACTGATGGGCTGGGCTCCACGCTGCCCACCCAAGATGGCAACGACATCCAGCTGGCATCTGCGGAGCCAGGGTGAGGATACGTGTGGCAGGTTAGCCAATCGTTTTGCTTATCGATAAGGGAATCTCCTGGTCCATGCTCCCCTAGTTATTAGGGGCCAACATTTTCCTCTCAGGTCTTAGCGGTGGGAGTGGAAGGCCATCCCCAGTGCCCACATACAACTGGACCCCTACCTTATCTGCTGGGGACTTATTTATTCACTCATTCCTTCCTGATCACACCCTCTTGCCCAACAGCTCGCCTGGGGAGCGATGCCTTCTCCACACTCCAGGTCACACTTTGCTTCCTCAAACACCTCGCCCCTTCACTTATTTTAGTGCTCCTGCTTGAGTTACCCAATTAAGTGGGCACAATTTTCTGGGATGCCTCCTGGCCATTTTCCTTGGGATAAGACTCCCATTTGGGATAAGTACCCTTGGGATAAGACTCCCAAGTCTAGGACACTCCCAACCAAAGATAGCCAGCCACCACCCACTGGTTCAAGTACACCTGCTAAATTCTTCTACTTTCCAAAATCGCCCCCAATTCCCTATCTCACGCCAATATCATTTGGGACTAAAGCCCGTAACTGATAGATTTCTTCAGGCCTAACTCTTCATCCCAATCTAGACACCATACAACTCCCCAATCCTATCAGTAAAAAGCCAAACAGGACCTACCAGCTAGTAAAGGATCTCAGATAAATCAATTTGGCCATCTGCCCTGTCACCCCAACAGTCCCAACTCATTGCTTAGCAGCACCCCCCCATCCACCACCCATTTCGTTGTCTTAGACCTTAAAGACACTTTCTTCACATTGCTTAGCAACACCCCCCCACCCACCATCCATTTCATTGTCTTAGACCTTAAAGACACTTTCTTCACCATTCCTTTACATCCCAAATGCCAATCTCTATTCAGTTTCACCTGGAAGGACTCAATACTAAAAACCACCCAACAGCTCACCTGGATGGTGCTCTCCCAAGGTTTTTGAGACAGCCCACATTACTTTAGCCAAGCTCTCGCAGATGATCTAGCACATTTAGATGTGGATGACCTCTTGCTCTGTAGCCCCTCATTTGAAACCTCTTACACCTATACCACTCTTCTCCTAAAACTACATAGCTTCCCTAGTGTATCAGGTCTCAAAAGACAAGATACAACTCTCTCATCCAAGGGTTACATACCTAGGCTCCAGCCTCACTCCCTCCTCAAGAGACCTCACCATAGACCACGATAAAGTGCTTCGTGCCCTGTTTATGCCATACACAAAATGTCAAATACAGTCCTTCCTGAGGCTAACAAGCTACTTTGGGCTATGGATCCCTAACTTTGCCCTGCTGCCAAACCCCTTTATCATGCAATTCATGGGCCAACTGACGAACCCATTTGTGACCCAAAGGCCATCGGCCAGGCATTCGCCAACATCTGATCCAGACTACTGCAGGGCTCCGTGCTGGCCTTGCCTAACCCCAATAGACCCTTTGATCTCTACACTTCAGAAACCCCCAGGACAGCAGTCAGGGTTCTGACACAACTAAAAGGGCCAACTCCAGCACCCATCACCAATCTCTCTAAACAGTTAGATGCCAAAGTCAAGGGATGGTTTCCTAGTCTCTGGGCACTGGCTGCCACTGCCATCCTCACACTCCAAGGACATATAAATGTCTGCTCCACATACAGAATAATGAATTTACTTGCACACCAGTCGCTTCATGTACTGTCCCCCTCTCTCCTCCAGCTCTTTCACGTTATCTTTCTAGAAAACCCACACATAACTCTAAAGCCTGGTACAAAAATAGACCCTCTCTCTACTCCCTTGTGATCCCTCTAACCCGCCCACCAATGCCTTGAAACCCTCAAAGACTTTATCACACCAACACTAGATGTCTTACAGCAGCCCATTATTGATGGGACATATACTTGGTTCATTAATGAGAGCTTGTTCACAACATCTTCCTTCCCTGAGCAGGATATGCTATAGTCTTGCTTAAAAATATCACTGAGGCAAAACCCCTAGCCCTAGGCACCAGTTCACAAAAGGCAGAGTTAATGCGGGCCCTCACCCTAGCTCAGGGAACCACCATAAACTTCTACACAGATTCTAAGTATGCCTTCACATCATTCACCACCATGCTGCCATCTGGAAAGAACAAGGTCTTCTAACAAGGAGACCCCCATCCAAAACTCTAAACATAGTCTCCTTCCTTAAAGCTATACTTCTTCCAAAACGTCTGACCATTCTTCACTGCAAAAGCCACCAGAGTGGCACTGACCCCTTATCCACATTCTCTAACTGATGGAGCTGCTAAACTGGCTGCCCAGGAGGACTGGAACCTCTCTTCTTCTGAGGGCTCACAACAGCTAGCTTTACTCCTTTCAGATGCCCCACCCCAGATACATAATATTACCTACCCTTCTTCTCAATACTCACAATTTCTGTATCAGGGGGTACCCTGGGAGCCGAGAGGTGGCTCATCCTACATGACAGATACGGTCTCCCAGAAGACCAAGCCATTGAATTTCTTACCCAGGTTCACTTTACATGTGGGATGGTGAGCCTTAAAGAAGCTGCTTGATCCAATCATTTACTGCCCAAACCTGTCTAAATTGTCTAAATAGATTTCCTCCAAATATGCCGTCTGTAGACAGGCCAACAACCATGGGGGATTACATACCTGTCTCTCCTCTCCTCACCAGTTCCGAGGGTCTTTACCATGGGAAGACTGGCAGATTGATTTTACCCACATGGCCCAACACAAAAAGCACCGCTATCTTCTTACCATGGTTGACACCTTCACAGGATGGATAGAAGCTTTCCCTATATCTACCCACTCAATCTTCAACCTATAAACGTTTTTGCTCTTGTAACAGCACAATATGCCTCCTAAACACTGCTGTTAATTATTCAGAGCCCAAATGCTGGATGTGCGTCTTATTCTGGAAGTGTACACTAATAGCCTTTCCAACTAATAACTTCTCAGCTCTCTGCCAATGTTCCTCCACAGACAACCGCCCTAGATATACAACTGCTAAGCCTCCCCCTTGATTTTAACCTTTCATCATAGGGACTACTGCCACTCCAAGTTTTCCTTTAATCACACTGTGACACCTCTTCCTGTGGTCTGTCCAGATGACCGTAACCAAAACACCTTTCTCCTC